TTCAAAAGGGCATAGTCCAAGAGGCATCGATTCCTCCTGATCCCTATTAACTCCCTTCCACTCTTTCCCCACACCCTCCATGTAGGCAACCAACCAGTTTCTGGTTTAATTTTCCTGTATTTATTTATTTATTTTTTTGAGGAAGATTAGCCCTGAGCTAACATCTGCCACCAATCCTCCTCTTTTTGCTGAGGAAGAGTGGCCCTGAGCTAACATCCATGCCCATCTTCCTCTACTTTATACGTGGGACGCCTGCCACAGCATGGCTTGCCAAGTGGTGCCTAGGTCCACACCTGGGATCTGAACTGGTGAACCCTGGACCGCTTAAGCGGAACATGTGAACTTAACCACTGCGTCACGGGGCCGACCCCTCCGGTATTTCTTTTGCATGAATGAGCAGATATATGTGTATCTTCTTCCATCCTCTTGTTTATATGAAAAGTAGCATATTACAGAGACTCTTTTACACTGTTTTTTTCCCCAGTTAATATTGTATCCTGGAAGTCATTCCAAATCAATTCAGAGATTCCTCATTCTTTGACATAATGTGCCACTGTAGAGACGTACCTACTTTATCCGTCTACTCTCCCACGGATGGGCAGTTGTTCCCAATTTTGTTTTTAAAACAATGTAACGGTAAATAATACTGTGTGGTATGTATTTTTGTATTGTCCAAGGTCTATCCTCAGGGCAGAATCCCATAAGTGGGACTGAGGGGTCAAAAGGCTGGTGCCCACGTGGTGGTGTGAGGTGTGGCCAGACTTTCGTCCAGAAGGATCGTGCCAACTGCATCCCCACTGGCGATGCTGAGAACCCTCCACAGCCTCAGCAACAGACGGTGCCGCCAGACGTGAAAATCTCTGCCGCCTGACAGACGAGAAGTGGTATCTCAGCGCTGTTTTAGTTGGTATTTCTCTAATCACGAGTGACTCTAAACTTGTTTTTGTAACTCTGAGTGCCATTTTGATTTCTTTTTGGGGGGAGGAGGGGTGATTTATCTCCCTCCATTTCTCTACTGGGGTTTCGGTCCTTGGCTTCTCAACTTTTAAGAGTTCTTTATATAGTAAGGATATCATCCTTTTGTCCGTGGTATATACTGTGAAAGATTTCTCCCAGTTTGTCCCAGCTGTCTTTTGACGTTTTATATGGCGCTTTTTGTCATGCAAACAAAAAAAAAGTTTTTACCGTAGTCAAATGGATCAACCTTTTGTTTCACTGCCGCTACACATTGAGACACATTGAGGCACAGTTAGAAGGTCTTTCCTTAGGCCAAGGTTAAAGAAAAACTCACCCGTATTTTCTTCTAGAACTTGTATGGTTTTATTTTTTATTTTTTAATGTTTAGATTCCTAATCCATTTGGAGCTTACTTGTTTAATGGTGTGAGACCCTGATCTAATTCTAAACGGCTACCCAGCTGTCCCAGCACCTTTCATTAAAAAGCACATCTTCACCCCAATGCCCAGAGGCGCCACTTTTACACTAAATCCCAGAGGTACTTGTGTCGCTCTCTGGACCTGCTAGTCTGTCCCACAGCTCCATCTACCCAGCCGTGTGCCAGCGCCATGCTGCTTGCTTTAATTCCAGAGGCTTCAGATGACGTCTTCACGTCTGGTAGAACTGGTCCCCCCTCAGATCTTTCCCTTTCTGTGTTTTGGAGCGATTCCTCCACGTTTGTTTTTATATGAATGTGGGAACCGACCCGTCTGACTCATCTGCCATGCTGAGCTGTGCTGTCAAGCACACTATGTGTCTTTCCATCTGTTCAAGTCCACTTTCAAGTCCTCAGGAGGGTTTAAAGAGTTTTCCCCCGGGGCTGGCCCAGTGGCATAGTGGTTAAGTTCGCACGCTCCGCTTTGGCAGCCCAGTTTGTGAGTTCAGATCCCAGGTGCAGATCTACACACTGCTCATCAAGCCACGCTGTGGTGGCATCCCACATACAAAATAGAGGAAGACAAGAACAGATGTTAGCTCAGTGACAATCTTCCTCAAGCAAAAAGGGGAAGATTGACAACGGATGTTAGCTGAGGGCCAATCTTCTTCACTAAGAAAAAAAAAGTTTTCCCTAATAGGTTCTTGCAAAATTCCTGTTACTTTTATTTCTAAGTATTTAATCTTTTTTGTTGCTATTGTAAATGTTTTTTTTAAACCACCATTATGTCCTCTAACCTTTCATTGTTTGTGTATATGAAAGCTATTGATTTCTGTATTTTATGTACTGCTACTTTACTGAATTCTTAGAGGCTTAACTCATTCTTATTACACCCTTATTTTAAGCTGCAGTTTTTGAAACAATCCCATAGCATCTACCATTTCACTCAGGAAAGGAGAATTTTTACAAGACCAATGCAAAAGCAGCCACATTCTCTCTAAAGCATTTACTAAGTGATTAAATCACAAGCAAGCACTTGAAACCCGCAGAATACCCTGAAGAGAGCGAAATCCACTCTCGTTCTTAGGGTTAAGACTCTGAATCTGAATCTTGGCTGACTCAGACTCTGGTAAGTCTGTAAAACCCACTCACAGCAGAAGCACACGGGAGGCCAACATCCAGTGCAGTGGAGAAGGTGCCTGATGGTGCGTGTGGAGCCCAATGGAAGGAGGAGCATGCAAGGCAGCGCGCTACCACACTCAGATGCTTGGTGTGCTGGCAGACACCAACTTCACGGCCCCAAATGTCACTGTCTCTGCAGGCGTGGCCTCCCCAGATGCTGTCAACCAATTCTGTGGGCCTTACATGACATCTTCCAGAAAGATCTATGAGTATGTTCATAAATTACACGAGCCACACAGTCTTTTATTTTAAGGCAGTATTTCAGCACTTTTTTGCATGGACCACTGGGATGTGGGTTTTAATGCTCCTGACAAGAGCACAATTTTTGGATCATCACTACAGGGACAAACTAAAATGAGATCAAGATGAACAAAATCTGTAATCATATGGTGTGAAAAAGAAACTGCGGAATAAAATGAGACTTTGTGAACTGAGACTATAAAGCTTAAACAGATCTGAATAATTACTTTTCCAAGAAAAGCACACATCCTGTCACGGTTATGGGGCAACACTGCGGCTCACGGACGGGAAAAGGAAGGCACACATTCTCCGCAAGTCCACATGGTACCAAGCAGAAGAGCTCCTGCAGCACGGAGACCGGGCAGATGCCACACTCAGCTCCTGCCACAGTCTGGAGTCCTTTCTCCGACCTGAGAACTTCAAGTCTATTCTTTTTAAAGAAAACCTTAGTGTGAATACATTTTTTCCATACCCATGCCAGGAGAAGGTGGCACTCTGGTGACAATGACAGGAGCTGAGAGCTCTTCACTCTACACAATCTTTACAGTAATCTTGTCTAGTAACCTATCAAAGACCACTCCTCAATTTCCACTAATCACTTGGCTTCACACATCACTGAGACTGTAAGGGGTGGTGAAAGAAAGAGATCATCACACGATTAAGGTCCACGTGGGGCCTCAAACCCTAAGCCGACCAGGGTACTGGACCTACAAAGAACACTGTAAGATGGATTTTCCCTGAAAGCTTATTTTCTCCACAGAGGAAGGAAGAAGCTGGAAAGTTTGAATGACGTGACTCTCTGCTCAAAAGCCTTAATGGGAAAGAGAATCTTCAAAGAACATCATCATCATTAACTAAAGACCAACTTCAAAAAGAGAAGGAATGAACAGAATGGATCTTCTTCTCTGCAGGCTCCCAGTTTCAAATACAGTGACCACATGACGAACTCTGCTTAGGAAACCCAAAAATGTCAAAGACAAAGAACTCATTTGCATTAGGTCACAGGGGGATAAAGGGAGGGGAAATATCAAGTATTTTATTTAAGCCAATTTATCCTGTCTAGACCATACACCCATTAGAAATACCGGGATATCAGTCCCCATAGAAGAGTTTTGTACCATAAAACGTCTAGTTTACTTAAAAGCTGTATGAAGAATTGTTTATGAGGAGTCACAGTGGTGGTGTGGTGTGGATGGTGAACTCTGTGCTGTAAAACTAATGCCCAGAAGGAAAAGCCAGAAAAAATCCTCAAGTTCTCTGACCTGTTTTAAATCTGATCAACACAGTAACTCCCAGCCATTGCTGGTTTCTATTAAGTAATGAAAACCCTACTTAGAGATATTCATCTAACAGATTACACAATATTTTTTGAAGAAATAAAACTATATCTGTAAAGAAAAGAGTATTTTCACTTATTTAATGTGTGTTGGGGGATTCCCAGTTTTGCTGACTGGTGTCTAAGATAATTTCTTCAGAAAGTACTAGAAAGAACAGCTGAATAACTTACTTTGGAATGATTACGGCAGGGAAAACACGAGAGACACAGACATACATGGCTGTTTTGTTTTGCTTGGAAAGGGGACCAATTCAGATTACACTACGATGAAGTTAGGCCAAAGGGGAACAGTCCCAAGTGGGTTGTATGAGTTGGCTTTCTAAAGCCATTCTCATCAGGAAATTTACTTTCTCTAGTTCCTTCTCCCAAGGTGAAATAAGGACAGACCCATTCTATTAACCTGGGTTTTCCCCCAACCCCAGGTTCTTGATTATACCTTTAATCCAATCCAAAACAGTACCCTTGACTTCCTTCTAAAATCCTTTGCCCTCTTTCCTTAACTCACTCTGTGGTCCTTTAGTCTTCTGCTCCTCTCTCTTGTCATCCCTTGTCCCCATTCTCTCCTTTCACCCCATTAGGCAAAAGCATTACCTAAGTAAAACTTGGTTTAAAGAGAAGCTCCAAGGAGAGCATGGAGGATAAAGGGTAAGTTCAGAAATGTGCTACTCATCTGCAGGGTCTACTAGAGAGACACGAGACTCGGCAGAGGTTTCGCCGTCAGGAAGCTACCAGAAGGAAAAGTGCGAACAGGATTGCGTGGGGAAGGACGCAGACCTGAGCAGGGCGCTGGAGAAGCCCCGCTTTTCTCATGGGGGTTGGTAAGCACCACAAAATCACAGCTGAAAGGAAAAAGAAAACTCCACCACTGGCCTTTTTCCGAGCGTGGCCGCCTTCCCCTCGGCTCAGTGCCCGCCACATGCCCAGGAGTGCGTCTGGATCCTGGAGGGGCTCCCTTCGCAGGTGACAGTGCTTACGCTATACTGTAAGAGAGCCAGAAAAGTGCCCATGAGAACCAGAAAGCAAACTTCCAGCCATCAGGACCACCTCTCTAGGATCTAAGATGGGGGAATCAACACGGACATCCGGCAGCATCTGAACGCCCGGGCAACCGAGGGGGAGAAGCCCCCTCCCCTGTTGGACATCATGGTGGCGAAGGAAAGAAAAAAATGTACTTTCTGTGACATATCTGCTGTGAGCAAGACAGAAAAGGCTAAGTCAAAGCCAAATGACGGGGAAACATGTCTTCATTCCTAATAGACAAAAAGAGACAACTTAAAGAAGAAAATGACCCAGGGTCTAAATCTAGTTATCTAAGAAAGTCTGTGCTATGCTGGCCTGGAAAATTAAAGCTTGTGATGAAAGCAACTCATTTCACCACTCGAGTGCTGCTGCTCTTAGAGGAAAGTAGAGAGAGAAGGAAAAGAAGGAAAAACTGCATTCTAAGATATAAAAAAAACAGAGCAAAAATACACGAAAAATAAAGAGCTGACACTCTCAAAAGTCATGATCTTACCATACGTCAAACGAAAGCGAGTTGAAGAAGCTGAGTAGAGAACATCAGACTTTGACGGACGAGATCTTTGGCAGTTCATAACCTTTCCAGTCTTTTTAATTACTGTGTTCATAAAATGCTTGATATGACCCTATTCGATAAAATGGAATTAGAAGACTACTACAACAGACCAAAAAGCCTTTTATTTTTACTCTACTAGGCACAGCTAAGTTCCTGCAACCCCTGCTGATCAAACTCACAATCCCAGCCCTCCTAAGGAAAATGAAAGGGTACCAATCATCTCCTGGAATACTGTGTAACACGGAACCTCCACACTTTCAAGTAACGTGCTCCTCAGTTCAGGATGGGGGTGCTGTCTGAAGGAGGTGGTTAGTGGCACCATCTCCTTCTCTAATTAACCTTCTTAAACAGGCTTTCACTATCGGAAAGGTTTTCTGCGTTTCCTTCAGATTCCAACTGACTAAGGAAAATGGCAAACACACGGACTCAAGAAAATCATTGCAGGACTCCAGCTGATGAAATAACCTCTCTTGATCCTTTAGAAACTGACCGACTACACGAGTCAGGTGAACCTCTCTCACAAAGAACTTCCTTGGCTTAAGAGAACAGACTCCCATTCTGGAAAACTGATAAGTAACCATAGGCAAGTTATTTCCTGGAAAACACCAGCTGGCAGACTAAAGGACCAGGGTGTACTCTGGGCTCCAGGAACCCCAATTTTCTAAGATAACTGCTTCTCAAAATCCCCCTACCCCAGAATCTGGTCAGAACACGTCAACCTCTCATCTGTCCATCTAACAGCGAGTTGAAAATTGACTGTCCCTTCCCCCAAAATTAAATTAGAGATTCTGCGACTTAATCCTCAAGACTGGGGTCATCTCCTGGCAGCAAAGGAGGGTGGCATGCCGGTTCGTCAGAGGGAACAGACTGGTTAATCTTAACGATCAGTGGGGACCAGTCTCCCATGTGAGGCAAGAATAAATGGCTCACAAACGAAGTGTGGTTATTTGAGGGGACTGAGGGACTAGAAACAACTGGATTTGGTTGTCAACTGACCTTGGGCCTGCAGAACCAAAACAGCATCAAAAGATTACCAGAATACAAATAATAATAGACACCAACCTCCAGATTTCTCATTAACTTCAAGTTTTAAGGAAGCATGTTTCCTAGGACTAGAAAGCAAAGCTTCTTTTACTGGAATACAACTAAAACGTGAAGCAGTTTCAAAGGAGTGGAAACGATTTGTTCACTCATTTGCAAGAATGGCTCCTCACCTCGGCCTGCAGGGGGTTCTAACAGCAGGGGCAACGTCCCGGCAGTTTCATCAGTCAGATGGCTAAATGCTGGCTGGGAAGCCAGGTGCTGGATTCGCACGTAAAGACAGGCAATGGCTAGTGGAGAAGAAACGCCTGACCACGTTAATGAAACCCCCGAGATTCAGACAGCGTAACAGACAGGAGGCGCTCTGGACCCAAGGGCAAAAATAACTTGTTGAAGGCCACAAGAAGAGGAAAGGAGAGCAGCAAGGTACAGTATCTGAGAAATGGGTCACCATCCTCCATCTAAAAATAGGTTACTGAAGGAGGTGAATTTCTATAGTTTTAAATAAACATAAGGAATCAGGCTATTTAAAAACACAAACGGCCTCCAAAGGGTCCAAAGCACCGCATTCAGCTTCAGACTTGATCCAACCCTGTCCACCACATCCTACAGCTGGCAAGCTGTGCGTCCTGCGCCGTCCTCCTAGACCACGGTACCGAGGCCCTTCTGTGTCTCCCAGCACGCACGCCCACAGCACCTTACCAGTAAAGTATTCCCATCAGTGGCCTAGAGCAAACACAAAATTCTGCACTTCTGCTTAATTTTTTATTTCAAGACTCAAAAAACATGAAACGAGAGACTAGAACTTTAAAAAGACCTCAAGGAGTTTCTAACTGACTTTGCTGGATGGGACCATGACAGTGTCTAGGGCTGAAGGGATTAGCACCAAAGTGGGGCTGTTGTTGCATGGTTTAAACAAGAGCCAAGGTCCACCTCTCATAGGAAGGTGCCAGACATGCATTTGGGGCACGAGAAGGTTGGGTATCATTCAGAGAAGGCACGGGACCCTCGACTTTATTCAAGTAGTAACCTGAATGTGATGGGTCCCTTTCTCACTCTTCCTCCTTGCTACCCAAGGGAGGCACAGACATTAACGTGAATCAAGGAATTCTCCTGGGAGGCTGTAATAACTCCTTCAGGTCGATCCACGCACGGGTCTCAAACAGCTTTTTCCTACCCGATGGTTGCTCCTTTCCTAGGGTCTCACCTCGTACAGAACAATGACAACTACAACCAGGCCTTCAAAATGGTCCTTAACCTTTTAGATCCCAAATCTCAATGCATTTCCAACAGACCGAAATTCATTTCCAACAGCTCTTTCACGTTGTGAGAACACAAAATTAAATTTAAGGGAGATTTGTCTTAATTCCTTTTCGTAAAAGTCCTAAGTCCAGTAGCAAGGCCAGCTCGAGGGTTCAGTGTGACTGTCAGACCACGGACAATTTCCTGAATCTCCAAGGAGGCTTTAAGAGGCGGTGGAGACGTCCTGTGGAGCTAGGGGACCCTGAGGATCCGGAGTCCTCCCAGCGAAGCCCTGACCCACCAGCTCGTTTCTTCCATAAAGACCAGGAGGCTTCTCCCTCCTCCTGCTTCAGGATCCCACTGTTCTTTGTGGAGCGGCCCCCGCCTCCCCGGGCCTGGGGAACGGCCCACTCAGCAGGAAGCTGACAGAGCACCCCAAACCCAGAGCTTATTTGCTCCTCCATCACTCTATGACTAGGACAGGAGGATGGGGACAAAGGATCAGAGACTTCCACCACTCTAAGGCCTATCACAGGAGGATGGGGACAAAGGATCAGAGACCTCCATCACCCTAAGGCTTATCACAGGAGGATGGGGACAAAGGATCAGAGACCTCCATCACCCTAAGGCTTATCACAGGAGGATGGGGACAAAGGATCAGAGACCTCCATCACCCTAAGACTTATCACAGGTGGATGGGGACAAAGGATCAGAGACCTCCACCACTCTAAGGCTTATCACAGGAGAATGGGGACAAAGGATCAGAGACCTCCACCACTCTAAGGCCTATCACAGGTAGATGGGACAAAGGATCAGAGACCTCCACCACTCTAAGGCTTATCACAGGTGGATGGGGACAAAGGATCAGAGACCTCCACCACTGTAAGGCCTATCACAGGAGGATGGGGACAAAGGATCAGAGACAAAGAATGGTCCGTCCCTCCAAACAGACACGCACACGGAGGCCTTTCCTAAGGGCGAGTTACTGTGAGGTCCGGACGGGGAGCGGCTGCAGGTGCGTTTCCCCGATTTCTCGGAAGATCCGGGAGGAACCACCACCGGCCCGGCTCCGAACTCGGAGGCGGACGCCGGAGCGCAGGCCCGCACTCGGCACGCGCCCCCGAGGCCCTGCCCCTCCGCTTCCCTCGCCCGGGCGGGACCCCGCAGTGGGGACGGGGAACAGGGTCCCGACTCGGCCACACTCGGAGGGCCGCCCGCCCGGTCGCGGCCCCATCACCCCCCGGCTCCGCCCCGACCCTCCCCCGGCGCCTCCCTCGCGGGGCCGGAGCCTCCCGCCCGCCCTCCCTCCCGCGCGGCGCAGGGCCCTCCTCGTGACGGCCGCCCTCACTCACCCTCCGTCACCTCCAGCACCTTGATCTGCTCCTCGGCCGCCGCGCGCACCTCCTGCACGGGCGACAGGATGCCGGTGAGCGTCTCCACCAGCGCCTCCTTCAGGCCCTGCGCCACCGGGCCCGGCAGCCCCGACGCCGCGCCCGCCGCCGCCGCGGCCGCCATCTTTCCTCCTCAGCCCGCCAGCCCGCCGGGGCCCGCCGCCCGACGACGGCTCCCGCGCGCGGCCAATCCGCGAAGCCGCGCCTGCGCACGGAGGCGGCGGGAGCGGTCGGGGCGGGGCGGGCGTCCGGGCCTCCGTCGAGAGCGCCCCCTGCCGCCCGGACGAGAACTGCACCCTGCTCCGCGGGGATCGCTGGGGATTGACGAGACCGCGGGGCCCCAGAGAGGCGAGGGGGCTTCCTGAGGTCCAACAGCGCGTGCCACGTGACCTCAGATTCACGGATCTTTCGGGTGTTGGGAGAGAGGAGGTGGGCTGGGCATGGATGCAGAGGGCTTTAAGGAGGGGGGTCTGGGTCAGAATTACCTCCTATTTGAGACCAACCTCATATTTCCCCCTAGACACTGAAAAAACCTTGGGCCAAGTGAGTCTCTTCCTCCCTTAGGCTCAGGAATCCAAAGGGAAGGGGGAAAACTGAAGTGGACGGGGCAGTGGGGAGTGCTCACAAAGGCCCACTGTCTTGGTGTTCCAGCCTGGGTGAACCCAACCCACAAACTGGGAAGTGACCCTCCAGGAGAGAGCCCCCCGTATGCGAAAGGGCATTTCCTCCAGAGTAGAGGCTTCTGTGCCTATTTGAGAATGAAACCTATTAGCTGAGAATGGATACATTTTTTTTCCCCCCAGAGAAATTATGGATGGACATTTAATGGGTGGAGGAACAAGAGTGGTTTAATATGCATGTCCCGCTGGTTGATGAAGTGGCTCGAGGTACAGAGATGCCCCTAAATACTGGAGCAGGCGGAGAGGATCCTGGAAGGGGCTTGGAAATGCAGAACAAGGTGGTGAGCGTGTGGTGGCGGAGGGATGGAATGACATATGTTGTTGCAGTGGGAGGTCCTATAGCGAAGAGGAACAGGTATTTCTGAGAATGCTGTTCAGGTTGAGCGCCTTCAAATGGTTTCCAGGAATCTGGACTCTCATTCCAGCCTGGGTGAACCCCACCCCAAAACTGGGAAGTGACCCTCCAGGAGAGAGCCCCCGTATGCGAACGGGCATTTCCTCCAGAGTAGAGGCTTCTGTGCCTATTTGAGAATGAAACCTATTAGCTGAGAATGGATACATTTTTTTCCCCCAGAGAAATTATGGATGGACATTTAAGGGGTGGAGGAACGAGAGTGGTTTAATATGCATGTCCCGCTGGTTGAGGAAATGGCCCGAGGTACAGAGATGCCCCTAAATACTGGAGCAGGCGGAGAGGCAGACGAAGCCAGGCCGCGACTCCTAGCCCACTTCCAAGCCTGCTGATGCTAAACTGATAACAATCACGTCGTCTGAGGTTTTTTCCAAAAGTGTCATTCCTCGACTTATTTTGAGGAGATCTGTGAACACATTTGTCACCTCCCGTGTAGGGGCGCAGAGGGGCGTTGTGTTACCACAGTTTCACGGGGAAAAGATTGCCTCTTGGACACTGAAGTTCCACAGTAGGGAATAAGGAGACTTCTTGTTTTCCTTCTCTCAGTGGCCAAGGGAAGCTGAACTCCATTAGAACAGGTTAATTAGAATTAGGTGGATTCACTTTTATACCCAGAAGAAAACTTAGGGAAGTCCAGAGGGTGTATGTTGTTAAACACTGTGGCTGTGGGTGGAGGACTCCAGGACCCAACTTTGGGGCCGGACGTTTCCAGTTCTGGTGACGGATGCCGTGTCCACAGTGGGCAAGCAAGAGCACGGCCCCCCCCCCCCCCAACCACAGGGGTCAAGAGACTCCCGCTTAGGATTTGAGGATCCGACATTTCCGGGCAGGTGGGTTTTACCTCTGGATTAGGTAGATAACCACAAGTGGTCTCACCTTCCAGATGGAGGAATGGGCCGCAGCAGACAGAAGCCAGACAGAGAGGGAGCTAGAGAGCCAGCGGACAGTACAGGAGATAACTTTATTGAAACGCAAATGGCATCGAACAGATGAATCTTGCTGGGAGCAGACATGCCTGATGGGTGGAGGGCCCAGGTGAGGGGAGGGAGGGGGGCCACTTTAGCTGGCCCCGGCATGGATTCCATTTTCAACCAATTTGTTGTTTAAAACGAATTACCCAGGGGACAGCCCCGCTCTCTTCCTGATTGTTACCGCAACTATATACAATGGCTTGCTTTCTAGGGTGTTTTGCTTCTCTACATCGGATAGAAAAGGGGTTGATTGGGAGAGGGGGGAGTCAGATGAGAAGAAACATAAACACACACACACACACATATCCTGGTTTGGGGTTTTGTGCCCAATAAATTAAAAAAAAAAAAGTGTTGCAAAAATTCCTGCCCACGTTCCACCTGAGGTTCGCCAAGCATTTGAGAAACATAGACTCCATCGCATAAACAGTGCTGCCTAAAACAGGATGGGGCGGGGGGGGGGGGGGGGGGGGCAGCGGGGAAGGAATCCAGCAAGGGTGGGAATTCTTTAAAAAAAAGATTGTTCTGTTAAAACGAAAACAAAAACACATGGGGAAGTGGGAGCCTCCTGCACAGCAGCAGCCCAGAGACCAGCTGGATCCAAGGGCTCTCGCCTCATCATCCACCGTCTCCGGTCTCAGAGAAATGGCAGGGAAGCAGGAAGATCCCACAGGAGATGACCAAGGGCCCCCTCACCGGCCTTCCGGGGCCGAGGGGTGATTTTAGTGCAGTTGTTTTATACTCTCCTTCCTCCGAGGCTTAGCTCCAGAGCTCAGGAGGCCTGGCATGCTTGTCCTCCACCCACAAGCTCTCTGCTGGGGAAAATAGACGAGCTCGAGACAAAACCAGCTGTAAACAGCCTCATCTTCCCCATGGCCCCATCAGCTGGAGTCTGTGAGTTTGGAAAGATATGAAGCTCCCTTCAGATTTTTAAAAGATTTTATTCTCTTGCCATGGCTAGGTAGCTGTGTTTCCAAGTCGTGATGTGGGGAAAGGAGAGGGGGAGCCCAAGGACTGAGCTGCCCCAGGACTGTGCCTTCATGGTGCTGAGCTCTCTCCGTGAGCCCCGAGGAGCGTGGAGAGGGGCCTTCCTGGGAGCCTGGAGCCCCATGGCTGTCTGTGCCTTGGGAAGGAGGTTCTGGCCAGGTTCTCAGACCTGCAGAGCCCTTTATAACTAGAGTAGGGAGAGGGATGTTGCTAAGAGAACAAGTTGTCACGGAAATACAAATTAGATGTTTTGACTTTTCTCCTCCTGTTACATAATCGGAAAAGGCCCAGAGTAGACACAAATAATCCAGCAGAAGAGCCATCTGGAAGAGACCTCCAGCTGCTGTCTTCCGCTGAGGCCCCTAGTGTGCCAGGTAGCAATTTCAGAGCCATGGGGTTTTTCCCTGAAGGTTGTGTTGACTAGGAGAGATGCAAACACATTGCTAACCTCCGCCCAAAGCACACACACCTTTTCTTGCCGTGATAAATAAAAGGAGAACCACAGACATAAGGGAGCGTGAGGAAGGGGACTTTGGAATTAATGCTGATGCCCACATTACAGCTGGATCTTCTTATTTTCGGTCCTAAAGCTCCTCAGTGTGGGGCCTCTGATACTTGGCTTTCCCCTTAAAACAGTGAGTTTCAGACTGTAGTGGGTGTCAGAATGACCAAGGGGCTTCGCTGAAACGCGCATTCCGAGGCCCTCTCCCCAGCTTCTGACACAGCGCGTCTGGGACAGGGCCTGAGAATTTTGCTTTTAGTTCCCAGAGGCTGCTGGTGCTGCCAGTCTGGAAACACGCGTTGAGACCCCTGCTTTAAGAAACGAAAGAGCTGAATCAAGGAACCACTGGCTCACTTACTTCCATGACTGCTCTTGGCAGAGAAAATCCTCCATGGCATAATCATTCAGAAAAAGAGCCAGAACAGCAAAGTGGGAGGACCCAGTCTATGGAGTTTTAATCTGGAACTGGATGGGTCTCTCTGCAGCTTCCAAATTTCTATCGCTGTCCTCACTTTGAGACTACACCATCTTCCAGTTTGCTCCCATCTTTCCCAGGGTCGGTGGCTGGCAGTGCTTGCTTCCAGGGCTAGGCTGAGCAGACAGGCACACATGGACCCTCGGCAGTGGGAAGGGCTAAGTGGCTGGCCCCACATATCCCTGATCGGGTTGACTGAGGACTCATGAATACACAAAGCTGACTCAGTTATAAAGGGCACTATCTTCAGGCTTTGGCCTTTTGGGAACAGTGTCCCCGAGACCACTTTATTACTTATGGTGTCTGTAGTGGGACCATGAACCAGAACTCGCTAGTAGTTACTGGTCATCCTAAGAGTGTTCCAGCATCCCACTAGCATATCCATCTCCATGAGTGAACTCTGCAAAGCACATTTCATCTCATCACTGGGGTCGGCTCATAAAGTCTACTTATTAGCTTCAGTTTAGCTAAGGCCCAGGAGGAAAGAAAGGAAAAAAAAAGCATGAGGAGCTACATCTGGTGGCGCCAATCCCTTCAGCGCTTGAAGCCCTGTGCTAACTGTGTAGTTAGGACAAGAGCAACTTCCTCTCCCAAACACCTGGCAGCAAAGAACCCTTGAAGCCCCACGCAGGCTCTCCTGGATCCTGGTTTGCAGGACCAAGTCCTACTCAGTTGGGCAAATTTCAGCCGGAGGCAGGGTTCTGCAGGTGGGTGTCGTCCCAAGTGGGGATGTGGGCAGTCTGTGAGAAGCTGCAGGCTGCCACCGCTCCCCTCCTCCTCTGCAGGAGCCCTCCAGGAATGAGTTCCCTCTCAGATCTCTGAAAGGGGTATCCTTCCCAATAGTGTGGCCCTTGTCTCAGGGAGCTAAGAGAAGAGACGGTGGGATTAAATCCACTCGGAGTCTTGCAAACCAGGAAAACCAGAGGGCAAGAAATGAAACGGAAAAAAAAAAATCCCTATTTTGTCTTAAGTCCTTAAGGAGCATGGATAGGTTAGTTAGAAGTTTGGTAATTCAAGCCAAAAATTTAGCATGCCAACCAATAAGGACTCCGGGGTGGGGTCTCTCCATGGGCTTTTCACAAGTCCTTCTTCCCCGCCAGCCTCCGGCTTCCCAATGGTCAGACTAAATGAAAAAGACGTTGGGTCAGGATTCACACACAGACAGAGAAGCACCGCAGAGCTGCCACGAAACATAGATTTTAAAAAAATACTCTGTGAAGCCTCAGAAGACAGGAGACAGCAAACGGCTCACTGCTCCTGTGAGAGAAAGAGACACACACACACACCAGGTCCCGTGTTAGCCTCAATCACCTAGCATTTTATTTTGGCGCCTAGGCAGGGATGGAGAAACAAATACACTGGACAAAACGGGTTTGTCTTCTTCATCCAGAAACCTCTCCTGGAGCCGTGGCTCTCCCCAGAGGTTGGTGTTGGGTACTGAACCATGTCGTCTGCGAGCCAACTTTGGTGAGGAATGAGTTGGGGGCTGGAGAGGGAAGGCATAGCACAACTTCCAGTCTTAGGTAGGCTGGATTCTTCTGAAGGTCCCGGGGTCAGGGTAGGGGGTTGAGAATTTAGCTACGGGACCCAGTTTTTCTTCTTTGAGGGATCCCAGTAGTCCCCACCCAGAAGCAGGTGCGTAGCTAGGAGAACGCTGTCGATTTGCTCTTGCCATTAACTCTAGGGCAGCGAGGGGGAGCTCAGGTTTCTGCTTCAGAAAAGTCTGGATGAGCGTCCCAAGGGGTTATAGCACCATGAGGAGGCTCAACCTTCTGCCGTTGCCACGTAACCATGATGCCTTTGTGAGATGATTGATCCCCACAGTGAGGGGCCCAGGTGTGCAGCTGTAAACAGGGTCCCAGGCTCCAGAGGGGAAGCTGAGGCTGCAATACCACCGCATCAGATGGGAACACACTTTCTGGAGGAGAGCAGCTGGAGAACTGGGCTAAATGCAGCCGTCAGCTGAGAGTAGAGGGCGGTGCATCCAGGAATAGAGGTGAGAAGTCCTAACACAAGAGGCCTCCAGAATCAACTTGCTGAGGATCCAAATAAAAGTCATGGTGGTACCCACGGTTACCAGGGAGACAAGAATCCCTTTGGGGGCTGAGGCAGTTGGAATGGAGGAAGGGGTTCCCCCCTTTCCTCTGTCTCAAGTAGCCAGTAACATCCATGACAGAAGGCACTGGCTGGGCAGCACCAGAAAATAGAGTTAAGGGCTCAACCATCTGATTAAGAGTCTAAGCCTTGCCAGGGGATTGCAGCCAGGAACAGAGTTCAGAAGAGGCCTGGGTCCAAAGAAGGCCCATCTGGTCTTCCCTTCCTCCCAAGTTAGAATACCTGCTCCAGGGCCTCCTCCTTCTGCACAGCAGAGACCGTAAGGCAGTGATTTCAGCACCATCCTTGGACGGACAGCCTCTTCCCACCACAGGGTTGCCTATGTTACAGCTGGGTTGGTTGGGGGTCTTCACAGCTCATGGACTTAGCAGCAACAAGCAATACTAGTCTCCAGCGTCAAGGAGCCTGTCAGCCCTGGGAGCCACCAGGTGGATGCAGAAGCTTTCTTGGGGAGCAATGGACTATCTTTTGGACCTAAATGAAAATATTCTGAAGATGCAGAGGCATCTACTCCTTGTTTGGGTGGGACAGAGCGATCCAGGTTAGGATGCCCACAGATGCTGAGATGGTCTTGTGCCACTTCGGAATCCACAAACACTGGGGCCCAGGAGCAGCACATCTCCCTGATCTGCAGAGCCCTCACTGCAGCCTCACCGGGGAGCTCAGCCTGGACCTGGTCCCAAGGGGACTTTCAGACATGGGAGGAAGGGGACTTGCCCACTCAAGATGAGCAGGATGCCATAGTCCTTCAAGTTCTATCTTAACTGATCCCAGATCTTCTGCCTCCAAGTACTGGACATCAGATCAAAGGCTTCTTTCTGGCTGGCTCCTTGGGTTTTGGCGACATTTCTTAGATGATCCTGAAGGTCTAGATAACAAGGGGACGTATGCTTGATGGAGGTTAACTCTTCCTACTGGGTTGTGAACGTAAGAACCCAAGTCTTATCTCTTTTTTTTTTTAACCTAGTGACTGGTACACAGTAAGTACTCAATAAGTGCTTGTTGAATGAAGGAATATAGACTGCCAGCCTTCAGGCAACTTCTGTAAAAGGAGGATCTCTTTGGAAGGCAGATCTTTGCCACCAAATCAAACTCCTTGAGCCTTGTATTCCGATTGGGAGTGTCTCACGTGGATGTGCAGTCGTACGTGAATCACAAATCGTAAAGTCCAGCTTGGGATTTTGGACTCCATCAGGCAAAGGGGCTGCCATCAGAATAGTGCAGTAAGGGGCTAAACAGGGCGCCAGCCAGACGACTGCTTCTAGTTTCCTGGTTCCCCCAGGCCAGGGGGAAGCTTAGAGTAGACCTTCTGTCAAGATGCCGGAGGCTGGCAGGGGAGCTCCTGGGCAGAATGTGTGCTTTCTCAAAAGGGAAGTCAAGGTTCCTCTTCTCCCACTGGTTTGGAGCCAATGCTTCATGTCCCATGCAAGCCCCAAGGATGCCAAAGATAGTGGCATAGCAGGTGTCTACTGGTGCCAATTAGATGGCGTCAGATTCTCCAAAGAAAACCCACTCGGAAAAGCCAAACCAGCCCCTGGAAAAGCAACCCAAACATCTCATGTAAGGAAATGGAAAAGAACAAACCAAAAAAGGAAAGGAAAATAAATAGGCAAAGGGGAGAAAAAAATAGAAACAAAACAAAAAACAAAAATAAAAAATAAAAAAAGTAGGGTTTATTGACTCTCATGCATGTTAAATTAGAGGGTATAAGACAGACTCGCAGTCTTTCCCTGAAGGCTGTCATGGTATTTTCGTGGTTTGGCGACTTCTTAGCTTGGCAACCATCTTGTCAACGTCCCTGTGTCATCCAGAGGGCAGGGTGGGCAGCGCTGTCTCTCCGTTGGCACTGGTTTCTCTCTCTCCAGCTTCATCTTTTCCATTTTTTTTCTTTTACCTTTTACAGATTGATTTAAACATTTTTTAACCCACATGCTTCTTTTTCTGGGCTCCAGCCAGATCTCTGGGGGAAGAGCTGTTGGCAGTGGTGATGGAATTGGGTAGGGTCTGCGAGAAATTCTGGGGAGCTTCCGCCTCCCTCAGATTTCCCCACACAGGACTGTGTCTCTCCAAGTTGCTCATGAGAATCAGTTAGGAACTACTGCAGGTTTTTCTGATGTCTTCTGAACCCCTCCCCAGAAAGCCCAGGAGTTTGTAATTGAGACAAGAAATCAAGGGAAAAGACCCAGAATCATCTTTTTCCCAAAGACGTGAGAGGAGGCCAGTAAATGTATCCAGGGGACACAAGGTCCCACTCCATCCCACCAATCCTTACGAGGAAGTTCTCAAAGGGGCAGCACCAGGACCCTGCCCCTCTCTGTCACCTCCTCCTCCTCCCTCCTATTCTCCTCCTGGGCCGGAGAGTCCGTGCTCTGGAAGAGGAGAGAGGAGAGGAGGAGCTGGCGTGGCCGATGTCAGTGTTCTGCTGTCCCGGGCGACAGTGACCGCTGGACCCTCAGAGCGTTGCCTGGAGGTTGGGGTCCAGGATGGTTTCTCGATCTGGAGACTCAATGTAATTGGCAGCTTCTTGAAGTTTCAGCAGCATGGCCATCTAAAGAGGGGCAAAAAGATGGACTAATGAGAGTTGGGACTTCGGGTCCTGCCCACCGAAGGGAAACATCAGAAAATCTAGATTGTGGGTCTGATCTGTGGTTTGTAAGTGATTAAGGGCCCAGAGAGTCTAGAGGCAGTTCGTGAAACAGCAGCAATGCCTGCTCGCCCCCTATTTGTAGACACGCACGTGTGTAACAGGTACTTGGGAGCGCCTGGCTGTACGAGGTGCCACGATGCGAGGCGAGGGGGAAGGGTGAACAGACGGGCCACCCCTGTCTCCAGGGTGCTCACACTCCAGTGGAGGACACACAGCGTCTGTGCATATGTGTCTGTACAAGAAGGCACATGCCAGCTCTACTGGGGGGCATGTGGAAGTGCCAGAAGAAGGTCTCTAACAACTTCTCCTTCCCACACATTGTACCCCAGCAGCTGGACTCAGTGCCATCACGAACCTGTTCCTCCCGGCGCTCAGGCCCCACTGCTTCATGTCGAGGCTAACCTCTCCAGGGTCTTCGCCTCCTGCCTCCTCTTCCCACTTCCAGACTGTGGCCCTCCCCTCCAGCTGAGCAAGCCCAGGGGCGTCTCTAGTGACTCTGCCCTCCACCCTTCTAGAGCCACAGTTACTAACGTCTTCCCATTGGAAAGTGTTTTTACACGGATAACATCTGTTTTCAGCAAAGGCAAAATTTAAATCAAAATGTATTATGACGAAAGCAGAAGAATTTCCTACTTGAAAGGCAAAACTGCAAGGTCACAGGATTTGTGCATGTTAAGCTTTAATACAATCTTATCCTCCAAAAAGGTTTTACTGATGCACGCTGCCCCCAGCAGAGCGGGAAAGTCCGTGCTTCCACACACACTATTCTTGCCAAGTGGATGGTTATCTCCTGGTTTAAACACGCGTTTGCTCAATTGTTAGAGAGGTGAAGGATCTTTGCGTGTTTTTATTGGCCATCTGCATTTCCTCTAGTCAAATGCCTGTTCATAGCCTTTGTCCATTCTTCTGTGTGGAAGTTTTTCGTGAAGTTTTGTATATTCCAGATATCAATCCTCTTTTGGTTACAAACGTGGCATCTATTCCCGCCAGTTTGTCACTTGTCTCAGCCTGCTTTCTACAGGGGGTTCATGACATCTGCTGAATGGAAGCGGTCCTCGGGGCATCGGAGGGCCGAGATGGAAGCACAGAGAGCTCGTGGGTCTGCGACCACCCTCTTTGGTTGATTTTCCTACCCGGAGTGCCTGAGACCCAGGGCTGTGCTAGAATGCACACTGCCGCCGGCATTACTATTGAGCTAAGCCAGGTTGCGGGCATGCAATCTTTATGACCAGGATCCCGACAGTCAGCGCTCCTACTGGCCTCATCCTGGCCCAGGCCTTGCTGTCTCTCGTCAGCCTCAGGCCCCCATCAGCGTGTGCATGAAGAATTCAAGTCTGTAATAGTGTTACTTTTAACTTAGAACGGCTTCTACTCACCAGAGGGTCCGAGTCCAGGGAACTTGGGGTGCTGTCTTTGACTGTCCTGTCCTCAGGAGGGGAGGCAATGCTGTGAGGGCCCACGGTGGGTGGGGGCAGGTGGTACAGCTTTGACTGGTCTTGTTGGGCTGACGGCCAGGGGAGAGTGTCCCGAACCCACTCCACTGGGTCCTCCCAGGCAGCTTTCTGTCCGTGGACCTGGAGAGAAGCAGAGATGGGATTACTGGGAGAGGAGTCCATAGCCTGGAAGCTGTTCATGCAGTCTCCCCATGGTGGTGCGTCTCGCTGATGGTGGTGTGTCTCCCCATGGTGTTATCTCCCCACAGTAGTGTGTCTCCCCATGGTGGTGTGTCTCCCCATGGTGGTATCTCCCCAAAGTAGTGTGTCTCCCTGATGGTGGTGTGTCTCCCTGATGGTGGTGTGTCTCCCTGATGGTGGTGCGTCTCCCCGTGGTGGTGTGTCTCCCCATGGTGGTGCGTCTCCCCATGGTGGTGTGTCTCCCTGATGGTGGTGTGTCTCCCCGTGGTGGTGTGTCTCCCTGATGGTGGTGCGTCTCCCCGTGGTGGTGTGTATCCCTAATGGTGGTGTGTATCCCTAATGGTGGTGTGTCTCCCCGTGGTGGTGTGTCTCCCTGATGGTGGTGTGTCTCCCTGATGGTGGTGTCTCTCTTTGGTGGTGTGTCTCCCCATGGTGGTGTGTCTCCCTAATGGTGGTGTGTCTCCCCGTGGTGGTGTGTCTCCCTATGGTGGTGCGTCTCCCCATGGTGGTGTGTCTCCCTGATGGTGGTATGTCTCCCTAATGGTGGTGTGTCTCCCTAATGGTGGTGTCTCTCTTTGGTGGTGTGTCTCCCCATGGTGGTGTGTCTCCCTGATGGTGGTGTGTCTCCCTAATGGTGGTGTGTCTCCCTGTGGTGGTGTGTCTCCCCGTGGTGGTGTGTCTCCCTGGTGGTAGTGTCTCTCTTTGGTGGTGTGTCTCCCCATGGTGATATGTACTTCCTCAAATATAAAGCCTCGGAGTTTTGATCCCCATGGTATTTTCTTTGAGTTTCCCAACAAAGGAAATAAATTGGCATAAGTTGGTTAACCCTTTTGGGGAGTGGTTTGGCAGACTGTGTTAAACTTAACACGTAGAAATCTTATGCCCCTATAATTTTACTTTTCAAGTAGGAAATTCTTCCACTTTAGTAATAATACCTTTTAAAAAAAATTTGACTTTGTTGAAAACAAAGATGTTATCTCTGTAAAAATGCTTTTTAATTGGAAAACTATTAATAATAATGCAGAATTAAATGAAATGATGATTTCTGGCATCGGTCTGATAGACAGCATCTCTAGAAATTTACCAGGTCAGCAGGCGATACCGTTCCATCACAATGACAGATTACTTTCATGGACAACACACGACCAGTACGGTCCATCACTGCCTCATAGCCCATTAGTGCTGGAATGGATCTGAGTGATCAGATGCCCTAATTTGCAGGTGAGAAAACTGAGGAGGTTTAAAAAAATGACATCTTCCTTTTGCATAAAGTTCTTATCCTAACTTTTAAAAATTTTATCACATATTTCATTTGTCTTCAAAACAACCCAGTGATTTAGGCAGAGCAGAATTTATTATCTCCTTTTTTACATATGAGGACATGAACTTGGCCAAAGTAACATTTTTATTAGTAATAATTGGGTTTTCCTTAATTCTGAGCTCTATTATTTCCCTGTTTGCTCTGATCCTTAGAGAGTGGTCTGAGCTTGGCGTAGAGCCAGAAGGCCCAGGAGTGGAGACATGGCCCCAGTGGCTGTGGTCATCTAGCCCTTTGCTGAATGCTGGCTGAAGGCAGGACAGCAGCTTACGTCTCTCCAGTGCCTTTGGGCACCTGTTAGGAAGAGAACCTAACTACAGCACTGAAGACTGCGGGGGCCACGCGGAAGAAATGTGTCTGCCTTGTTCATTGGGACAGCCTGGCCTTGGGATTGAGTGGCATCAGAGGGTAGGGCTCACCTTGATCCCATCCTTGGCTCCTTCCTGTAGGTAGGGAATGATAGAGTTGTTCCACAGGTCAATGAACCAGGTCCGGAAGTCCTCAATGCCAATGGGACAGGACAGAAAGAAGCAGGGGCCTGGGAAAAGGACGGGGCCGTGAAGATGGTGCCTGGCTGGCAATCTCATAAATCATGCTTCACAGGTAGAAGGGAGGTGAGGGAGTGAGGGGAAGCTTTTAAATCCCCTCCTAAATGCTCTCCCTCCCTTTTCCCATTAATTGTGGGAAACCATGAGGGACAGGTGTTAGCTTTGTGATGGCTGAAGCGATTTGCCCAAATCGTGGCGCTAACTGCGTTGGGAATGCTTGTTAAGTAATTACGTGGTTCTGAGTCTGAAGCCACAGGGTTTACAGATCCTTTACATGCTGGAGACGCCAGAAAGAAAGGGCAGCATCCCTGCAGGTGGCCAGGTCGGAAAGGGAAGCCACCTCCTGACCCCAAGGGGAAGCTGCACCCCAGTACCGATGAGGAAGTCTGAGGTGCTGTGCTTCTCAAGGAAGGTGTGGAGGTGGTACCACAGCTTGGGCACCCAGTCGAGCACCCGCAGCAGCTCCTCCTTGTTGGCATTGACGTCGCTGTCTGACTCCACCAGCTTCCTCCTCAGGTAACGGACCAGGAAGCCATTGGCCGGCTCCACGTTGTTGGAGAAGGTCAGCATCCTGCCGCCGGGGATGGGGAGAATGGGGTCAGGGTGGCAGTGGGGACGCTGTCAGGTTCATCCCCTGCCAGCCTGCCCCTCCTCCTGCCTGCCTCCCACTAACGCCTGCTTGGTCTCTTCTCAAGTAATGGTGGGGTCAAGGGAACTCAGGGCAGCAGCCCTGGGCAGGCAGAGCTGGTTCTCAACCAGTGACCTCTTCAGAGAGCCACCTGACCTCACTGACCCGGATGAGGGGTGTGCGGGCAGAGAACCCGAATTCCAGCAGCCTAGCTGCACCTCCCTCAGCCTGCGGTCCTCCTCTGCCCTGTGACGGGCATGGCACACCCGCCTGCTCCCTATTCCCAGCCCAAGGCTTGGCTGCTCTCCCGCCCTCTGGCCCGACCCTGGGATTCAACTGCTTTACAGACTCTCGGGTGGGATCGAAGGTTCATCCAGGGCTGCGGTTCTTACCTGAAGCTCAAGTGCAAGCCATGATTGGGGGTCATTTTTACGGGCTGATTGGTGGTACCGATAATGTAGGGACTGTGGGAAGAAAGAAGAAAGAGGTCCCTCTAGACTCTCTTCACATGTGCACCCAACAGAAAGCTTGTAGGCTGGCCTGGCCCGGGCTCCCGTCTTCCCACTGTGGTGAGTGTGGGCCTGACTCCTGCTTACCATTTGTGGTACTTGCAGGTGAGGGCCCCATTGACCAGCTCACTGATGGAGCCTGCTTCACTCAGGTCATCCAGGAGGATCACCAGGGGCACGTCCCCGATCCCTGTCTCCCGGTCGATCTGGTTGGCCAGGTTGGAGAGATAGAGCTGCAGATCCTGGAACAGGAGCAGGCAGTGGGTCAGCACTCGGGAGTTGTGAGAACCTGGGTCAGCCTTGGAAAGAGGGGTTCAGCTGAAGCCGTGCTAATTCTGGGTTTCCCTGGGGCCCCTGGTTCCTGTCTGATGCACTCGCACATTTGATTATAGAAGGGAGATTGAGAAACATAGGTCCCAAAGGCTCTAAGGTAACCCCCATAAGCAGGGGACCCTAAGTCGCCCAGAGGTGGGGAACACATGCTGCTTCCTAAATGGACTTTTGTGGGCTGGTCCTATGACCTCTCCCAATGGACAGGCCTCCCGGAGCTGGGGAGCCAAGATGTGAACCAGCTCCAAAGTGTTAGGGTGTGCCCAAGAGACTTCAGGATTTGAAAGGCGATGGCACAAGATGTAACACTTAGCTCTGAGTGCTTCCTCCCAGAAAGCCCAATGGCAGAGAGTGATACAAAAAGAAAGGTGGAGCGAAGAAAATAACAGAGGAGAGGGGTGGGACTGGTGGGGTCGCCAGCGAGGGAGGTAGCAGTGAGGAGGAGGGAGTTCAGTCAGTGATCAACCCAAAGGAAAGGAGGCAGGGGGTGAGGAGGCAGAAGGGGGAGGAGAGCACGGGAGTGGGGAGGACACTTGGGCAGAGGGGAGGGGAGGGAAAGGAAACGATGCGGCGGAGGGGCCCATGAAGGCCCCGGGGGAGGCTGAGGCCTGGGCAAGGCTGGCGGGGGTCTCGGGGGGCAGCCACCTTGCAGGACTGCTGGTGCATGTTGAAGGTGCTGACGATGCCCTCGGTGACCTCGCGGCCAGAGCGCTCCACCAGGTACTCGGCCAACCGATTGGTCAGGTAGGTCTTGCCGGTGCCGCTGGGGCCCGAGAGGACGAGGCGCCGGTGCTTGAGCAGCAGGCTGATGTAGTGCTGCATCATGGGCTTGGGGATCAGTGTCTCGAACACCAGGCTGTCGACGCACTTCTCCTTCAGACCTGAACCCCAGCCCCAGAAAGCACGAGTCTTGACCAGGGCCCTGAGGATGGCAAGGGGCCCTGAGGACTGTTTCTTCATCTAGGAGCCCAGTGAAAAAACTTAGAGCCGCTCGCCCTGTGGTTCCACGGGAATCCCCTAACGCCTAGTTTAGAAAGTGCGGATCTTATTTTTAGGGACATGCTTGGAGCTTCAGGTGCCTGGGTGGCATGATAAGACCAGCTTGGCAGAAACGTCCCTGGGAACAAAAATCAGGGCTGGGTCCTACTCATCTTTTTGTGGCTCATGTTACTGGAGTGCAGGGACCTTCATACTGCAGCTTCTCACTGAATTCTTGCTGAATGAATCAGGATGCACCATCTGATGCTTCCCTCCCCCCTTAACCCCATATGGCCACACCCCGAGCGCAGACGGACCTTTGAGGGAGACGGCTATGTTATTGACCCCTCGGCGGCAGGGGGGCAGCTCTGGGGGCTCCGCATCCAGCACTCGCTTCACGTGGCTGATGCTGTAGCCGTGGACAGACTCAGTGCTTAGCCCCAGGGTCGAGGCCGGGTCCATCTTAGAAATGTAGTCCTGAAGGAAAGAAAGGGAGAAGAAGAAGAAGATAGTGAGGAACACCGAGAAGACACCGACACAGATGGAAAAGCCACAAGAAAAACGAGCAGCAGAGGGAACAAAAGTCCACGGGGAAAGGGAGGGGCATGCCTTTCCTGTTCAGCATCTCTCCATAAAGCCTCTGAGGTCCCCCGGAGCCCAGCGCCTGACCAGCAGCCTTTGAGGAACACATGTACCCCTTTACCTTGAACACTTGGAAAACAGCTTCATCCAGCATCTTCCAGTCCACTTTTCCGCTGACCTTGCTGCATCCCAGGAAGAATTCCTGCTGCTTCAAGTCCTGTGTGGCCGAGGCAGAAGCACTGAGCCTCAGGGCAGGTGACTCCAAGAAAGGGAGCCCCTCAAAGGCCTCAGGAGTGGAATATTCTGGTTTTGGGGGGTATTCAGAGCCCAGATTCTCTTGGGTGAAAACGACAGTGTCACCAGCCCTCCTTGAAGTTCCTTACCCCTTTGATGATGTGCTGGGGGGGCATCCTCACCACCACCCGAAGAGTCACTTCCTCCTTTGGACCACAAGTGCTGATGCCATCCATGGGAGATAGATCTGCAGGCAGAGACAAGACGACTAGTTTTAGGGGCCCCCACAGGCTGAGCAAAACCTTCCATCTTAATCCGTTCCAAATAACCCTTGATTTACCACAAAGAAGAGACAGAAGCCCCAAACTGAGAAGTAATTAAGGTCGAGATACCATAACAGCTCTTGGTGTCCCATGACACTGGCGTCTCCTGGATTTAAGCTCTTCTACCTTCCTGACCCAATGAAGGTGCCACCAGAGCGAGCGGGATGGTGTAATAAGGACCCAACCCCTTTCTTCCCTCCACCCTATGGGCTCTTCTCCTTCTCAGGTACCTGTGTCTGCGAGACTCGGGCTGAAAGAGTGGGTGAGGGCGAGGCCCAGGGAGCGGCGAGGGGATGATAAAGCCGACGATCCAGGGGCCTGCCCTGGAGTGGAGCCCGAGGAGGGGCCTGGGGCCACCTTCAGCCGATCATTCTCTGCCTTCAGCAGGTCCACCTCCAACTGTGGCAAGAACAGAGGGCGGGTGGGCAGGGCTGACAGGCCCCCAGCCTTGGCCCTGCTCCTTCCCTAGCTCTCGGCCCAGACACTGACCTGCATGTTGTGCATGGTCTCCCGAAGCTGGTCCAGCTGGTGTGCAGAGTTGAGGGCCTCCAGGCGGATGTCCGTCAGCTTCATCTCCTTCTCCCACAGCTCGGAGCGCAGCTCTGATACCTCCTTCTTCTCTGGCTCCTCCTCCTCACTGGCGTGGAACAGCCTCGGGTGGGGAGCTGAGTGGGCAGGGCCCCTGTAAGACAGGGAAGGGGTCAAGCCTGGCTAGGAGGGAAGCGCTGGAGACACAGGGGAGGCTGAGAGCCGAGGCCAGCAATCTCGCTTCCTCTGCCTGAAGACAGTCCGTCGGCAGTGAGAGGAGAGGCCCACCCCTTGGTCTCGTCTGCCCAGGGAGAGGGCTGTGGTGGGGGGCTGTTAGTCCAGCTCTGGCCAGCCGTCTACACCGGCTCCAGGCTGGGGCCCGGGCAGGTGGAGGGTACTTACTCGGTGACATCGATGCCCACAGAGGACGAGGTGGAGGACTTGATGGAGGGCGAGGCCGTCTCTGTGGAACCGTGCTGCAGTTTGGGGGATGAGGGGGCCGAGGAGTCGGGAGTGGCAATCTCCTCGATGTCAGAATACGAGGAAGCTGACTTGGGCCCCTTTTTTATACTGAAGGCTTTGTTGAAGGAACTTCGAAGCTGGAAAAAAGCAGATGTGGGGAGGGAGACGTCAGGCTCCACTCTGGGGACGGGGTGGGGGGCTGGCTGGGGAGTTCTGGGACAGGTGTAGGGTCGGGGAGCTGCTTGCTGTATTTAAGGCTCCCTCTTTAAGGCTTCACTTGATTCATGGGCTACGGATGTAAGAGTTGCCTGGAAATTGGGGCTGAGAGAAAGCAGAACCTTCTATCGCCTGCTGTTGTAGGCTCTGGGAACTTCTAGGGTCTTCTCTCTCCCCTGGAGGAACTGTGACCGAGAGGGATAGAGAGAAGCCCCCAACAGGTCACTAGGTCCCTCTCGGCGATGCAATCCTGCCTTCTCCAGCAGACTAGTACCTGCTCAGTCTTGAGCCTCTCTCATTTGGGCCTCAGGATCCACCTCTGCCCAGGCTCGTGAGACTAGACCCTATCCTCCTGTCCACCAGAAGCTGACACCACCACTCTCTGGACATCAACAGAAGGGACTGGCGTCGAGTCTCTTTCAGCACATCACAGAATGGTTAGAACCGCCAGATACAAGAGCTTCTCCTATTTCCAGCAAATGCCCTGGAAGAGGGGATACTTCCCGGCATTTCCTCAAGGTACATGGGGCAACAGCCTGTTTGATCTCAGGAATTGATCGACGAGCTTGGGTGTTAGGGATGTGAGCTGGAAGTGCAAACCAGGGTCCTAGCCCACACCCGTCCTCATGCATCCAGACAGCATGCACACACACAGGGACACATGTGGAATGGCAGCAAGAGACAGAGAGTAAAGGAGGGGTCGAAGGCTAAGGGGACAAAGGCAACCCAGACCCCTGGGGCAGTGAGAAAAGGGGACAATCTGAGGGTGCTCTCTCCAAGTCTCTCCTGGAGCACAGGAAGGCTGCTGATGCTGGCTGGAGCTGACGAGCAGTGTGTGTGGGCGTCTCTAGCAGGCGGAACACAAGGAGGACCACCGGCTGTGATGGGGATATGTGTGCGAGAGCACGTGTACAGGGGACACACGCTCACTGAGCAGTCAGGCTCAAAGGCGCCACAAAGCTCAGTTCTCTGTAGAGAAAAAGCAGAGCTGACTTGCTCGAGATTGCGGAAGTGAAGGGAGACCTGCAATGGCACAGGCCTTCTAACCCCCGATCTGACGAATCTTCTCGACACCACGCCTCCTGGGAAGCTGTGTGTGTGTGAGTGTGAATGAGAGTGTGCATATGAGTGTATGTGAGAGTGTGGGTATCAGAATGTGTGTGTGTGTAAGTGTGTGTATGAGAGTAAGTGCATGTGAGTGCGTGTATGACTGTGTGTATGTGAGTGTGAATGAAAGTGTGTGTAAGTGTGTATATGAGACAGTGCATGTGGGTGCATGTGTGTATGAGAGTATATGTGAGAGTGTGAAATGAGAGTGTGTGTATGAGAATGTGTGTGTATAAGTGTGAGTACATGATTGCATGTGTGCATGTGAGTGTGAATGAGTGTGTGTATGAGAATGTGTGTGTATGAGAGTGAGTGCACATGGGTGCATGTGTATGTGAGTGTGAATGAGTGTATGTATGAGAATGTGAGTGTGTATAAGTATGTGTACGAGTGAATGCATGTGAGTGCATGACTGTGTGAGTGTGTGAATGAGAATGTGTGTATATGTGGGTGAGTGTGACAGTGTATGTGTGTGTATAACTGAATGAGTGTGAGAACGAGTGTGTGTATGAGTACGTGGGAGCATGTGTATGTGTGTACAGGAGTGAGTGTGTGAATGAGTGTGTGTGAGGGCATGCAGAAAGAGAGCCCGTGACCACATCTGCGGGAGCCTAAGCCCTCTGGGACCCCTAAATCCCAGGTGAGAAGAGGGTGCCACGTGTGGTCCAGTATTCCCAGAGCAGAACTGCCGGGGGTGCTGACTGGTGTTTTGTAGGAAGGATTCCGTGGTCAAGTGAGTTCAGGAAACAATGCATCAAGCAAAACGAGACAGGACCTGCCATGGGGGCCATCTCAGAAGCTCCGAGCGGCGCGCGCTGTAGAAAGCGCAGCGCTTCTCCAACTGGACGCTGGCAGCGCTTTCTAAGGAGCCTCTCAGCGGCCTAGAGGGACCACGCTTGAGGAAAGGCGAAGCTAGAGAATCAGGTTTAAGTAGTTTTCCTGGTGTTTCAGGCCCTTCCTGTCCGTGCTCTCCCCGACGCAGGGCTCCAGCCAGATTCCCCCGCCCCGCTGCTCCCTTCGATCAGCAGTGTCTGCAGAAAGAATCGACACCCTCCTCTGCCATGGGAGCCCCGGCTCGGCGCGGGTGTGCCTCCCGCGTCTGTGGTGCTCTCCCTGCCCTCTGTGAGCCTCTCTCTGTATGAACTGTTAACACCCGCGGGCTGAGTTAAGCATTCTGGCACCGTGGGATTGTCATCACTTTTACATCCAATATGGTTTTTTGTCTCCCCAGCAATTCTGCAGGCTCTTGAGGGCTGAGATGACAGCCTCCAGTTTTCATATCCTGCACAAGGTTGGGTCAGGGTTAGGGCGGACCTCAGAGGCTGGTTTGTCACGGAAATTCTGAGCTCACTTCCCGTTGTCTGACACTATTCTCTAATCCCTGAAATGTCTTTGGGAACTCCATGGATGCTCACAGGGCCTCAGGCTTGGGTGCCCTTGAACGGACCATATCCCTCACTTACCTCTGCCTCATCTTACCCTAGAGCTAAATCTTCAGGCCAAACTGAACGGGCCTCCAGAAATCGTGGTCAAGACAATGTTCACCCCATGATTCTCTTCTAGGGGTTGATGGAACAGAAAATAAGACAGCGCCCTTTCTGAGAAGGAGGGGCTCCATTTGACTGCTTTTATAACAGGCGGATTTTGTCACAGGGGAAGACAGGAAAAGGTCAGGATTTTGTCTGACGGTCCCATTTGGCCCCGAACCAGACCACTCCTCTGTCCTCGTGTGGGGCAGCCGTGGATGGACCATGCAGTGGGGCAAGTCAGGAACTCTGGGGTGGTGGTTACGGTTAGTTTTATGAGTGGCTGTTCTTTTTTTAGGGGAGCGGGTTGCTCTGGGAAATGGGGAAGGTATGGCGAAGGGAGAGAGAAAATGGGGGAGAGGAACTGGGTCTCTTACCTCATAGACCTGGAAAAAAATAGGGATGTGAAGTCAGCATTTTGAAGGGAAAAAAAAAGAAGCAACACTTAGTCACTCATTGCACACAGCTGGCGGCTATCTGCACTGCACACAGGTCTGCGGCCAGGCTACTGAGCAGGGACGGGGGCAAGAAGTCTGCTGGGGGTCCTCGCCGGACCAGAGGCAGCAGACCAGCTGACAGCATTTTAGGCCTGCCTCAAGAATTTCAGAGAGGTCGCTCAAAGGCAGTTTACAGTTATCTGGGGAAAAATCAACCCAACTACCTCTGAACCAGTGAAAGGTAATAGAAATAATCTGAAGTAATCTGGAAGGTTCCACAAATACTTCTCCAAAAAAATTGAGGAAAGGCCCTCCAGCAACATCTGGAATGAAGGGCTTTGTCCATAAACTCTTCTCTCCACAGTACAGAAGGGGGAGGGGCTGGTGAGGCATTCCCTTCTGGATGTTTCTCTGTTGCCAATCACTTGACCTAATCCGAACGGAGAGCCCCAGGAAGCAGATGTGTAGGAGAGATGGAGGGACGGCCTCAGGACAAGTCGGGAAAGACTCGGGGAAGGGAGAGAGAGTTCAGCAGACCTTGCTCTGCACAGACTCAGCTCAGGGCTCAGCACTGGAGGGACTCTAGCTTGGTTAATCCCGGAAGGACCCGCTCCCTATGCTGAGGCGGAGGGGGTCCAGCAGGGTTCCACACAGCGCCCGCCCCCAAACCTTTACCTACCCAACTCTTTTTTTTCTTCTTTTTCGCATCAGCATCCTTGCTGCTGCCAATGCTGGAATGGCTGGTGATGCTGTTGAGGCTCGAGATGCTATCCGAGGAGTTCTGTCTCTTGATCCGAAGTTCTGGGGGCGAGTACGAGTGGCAAGAACACAGTCAGGGCAGACTTAGAGAAGACGGAGACTTGAGGCAAGTCTAGCTGCAGAAGGGAGAGAAGGAGCCGACCAGCTCCTAGGCCCACACCACCCAATCTCCGGAGCATCCTTCCAGCAAACATCTACTGAGTGCCAACCATGTTTCAATATACAAAAAAACGCCACAGGTAAGAAAGTAGGAAACGATCCTGCTCTCAGAAGCTCCCAGTCTCGTAGGAGCAACCGCAGTGCACGAACTACTGAACTCAGCTTGAACAGCTCCGAGGGGCTCCCCTAAGGCCAGCCCTCTACAGCTTTATGGAGACATCAACCTAGCATTTTTCATGATTTTCTCCAGCCACACTTGGCTGCCTGGGGAGCCAAGGCCATGCACTCTGCATTTAACCCGAACGAGCTTTAGTTTTCTCATCTGGTGGGTAGAAGATCTTTTCCACCCTTAGAAAAGGTTTGTGATGGCCCAAAAGATGACCTACTTTTCTACAACAGGGGAGGAAAGGGTTAACAAAGGAGGCGATATCTGAATCTTGAAGGAACATAAGTTCTTTCAGATAGGAACATTAGAAAAGGTATTTAGGGGTGAAGAAACAGCACATGCAAAGGCCCTGTGCAAGGCAGGAACCTCCGGGATGGAGCAGCACAGGGGGTGACATGAGGGGAGGGTGGAGCGGAGGCCCAAGCCAGGGCAGGCAGAGCCCGGCATGCCTTTTACCGTAGTCTGCCTTTGTGCCGCAGGCAATGGGCAGCAGAGAGTCTGAAGCAAAAACGCACAATGACCAGATTTTTAAGCCTTTTTATTTTGAAATAATTACAGATTCACAGGAAACTGCAAAGAAATGTACAGGGAGGCCCTGTGCACCTTTCACCCCATCTCCTCCAATGCTAATGTCTCGCATCACTAGAGTACAAGGTCAAAGACGTGTTTCTTCATAGAGCTTACTACAGCAAGGAGGGGAAGGACGGTGTGGAGGGAGACGAGGCCGGGGCAGGGAGCTGTCTGTGATGGTTCTCCTGGTCCGTGAAGGAGATGTGGGTCGTATTTGTTATGTTCTCGCTCTCCCTGTGACCAGCAAAGGATCTTTAAACTCTAATTTTCCCTTCATATCACAGGGAAAACCAGACCTTAGGATCTGGTGTGGGAAGTACGTGAGTTCATAAAACACACAGTAAGCCTCTGTTCAGTGATTATCACACCAGGCGCATGACACGACAGAGTCCTCCCAGGTCTCTCAAAAGGTGGAAAATTCTCAAGAAGATATACTGAACTCAACTAAAGAATTTTTCGTTTGTACAAAAACGGATACATGTGTCCACATATACTGGTATATGCAAAGAAAATTATTTCTGGAAAGACTCACAAGAAGCAACTGGCAGTAGTTACCTCTGGGGAGTGGATTTGGGCATGTGCAGGAAGAGGGGTTTTATCTTTCACCTCGTCCCCTTTTGTGTAGTTTACATCAGGCTGGCGAGCTGTTACCATACGTGCCGGAGAGCTGGTAGGCAGGCTTTGCGGCCATCGGATCTCTGTTGTGACCACTCAGCCACAGACAATGTGTAAGTTCGTGAGCGTGGCTGTGTGCCAGTCAAACTTTATTTAAAACAGCTGGTGAGTCAGATTTGGCCAGTGGGCCACGGTTTGCCAACCCCTACTTCACATTTTCCCCCAGGATATGTATCGCTTTTAATGATGAAAATAAATTTAAGTAAAAATTAGTTAATGAAAAACAAAATGAAGGACAGCAAAATAAAGCACGTGCATCTGTCTCACCAGTGACTTGGAGGTTCCAGTTAGTTGTGAGTCTATCAATTAAATTTTAAAAATAGGCTATATAGTACTTTTAAAGGCAAATGATATGTTTCAGAATCAGTCTTCAGAAAGTTAGGAAATCTTTGGGGGCATTTTTAACCTTGTGCCACACATATTTATGACCTATTTACAAGTGAAATAAAGTTAGGTATCACCACCTTAAGCATCAACTCTTGGGATGCCCCTCGAAATCCTCTTGACCAAGTTGAGTCCAGGTCACCATGAACTGAGGAAAACATGAACGCTCACAGCGGAAGAGAGGATGCATTTATTCACTCAACACACATGTATATCTGAAGACTAAGGTGTCTTTGGGAAACCAGAAATGGCTTAGTATCCCAGATCCATCACCTAGGAGCTGTGTTTAAGCAGCTTACTTATTTTCTCTGATCTCTCTCTCCTCAACTATAGAATGTACTTTATCGGGTTGTTATCTGGAATGAATGAATGAATACAGGCAAAATGCTTAGCAAATGCCCAGCATATGGCAAGTGCGCAGTCAATGCTGGCTGTTACTATTGCCACAGCCGGAACACATAACGCAGGAGGAGAAGTGATGGGAGACAAGGCTAGAAAGAAAGGTCTGTCTTAGGTCAGGAAGAGGGGGCGCCATGCTAAAGGGTCTACGATGCATCCTCTTTCCCTTTAACTTGCTTTTCTGAAATGTTTCAAACACAAAGAAATACAGCACAGTTCAATGGAAACCCAGATGCTCTCGCCCTGATTTAACAACTGTTAATATTTTGTTATGCTTGTGCTCGTGTGCTCTCTCTTCCTCCACATACAAAAGTGCACACACACATACACACAAACATACGTACACACAGATATTTTCTTGCACAATTTGAAAACAAGTTACAGACAACGTGACACTTTACCCCCTAAATCCTTCAGGATGCACCTCCCAAGAATAAGGACATTACCCCACAACATCATGACACCTAAGAAAACTAACAGTAATTCTTACAGTTTAAATCTCTCGTTCATATGCAAATGGCAATGATTCCTGATGTTAACTGACATGACTGGATTACCCTGGGGGCAGAGTGAAGGAAGGACCGTAGTAACCCAAGACCAGGTAGGAAGTTACTGTAATAATTCAGAAGAGTGGCGAGGACCTGAGCCAGGGTAGTGGCAAGACAGAGGAGGGATAGAAATGAGATCTACAGATCTATAGCTATATCTAGCAGCTACATATATACCAGACTGACTACATAGGGTGAAACAGTGAGACTAAAGGAGGACTCCTGTATCAGCAGTTCAGGTGACCAGGCAGATGATAAAACCTAAAATGGGCAGAAGGAAGGGGCTGGCAGCAGTATTCGTAAGGGAGGTGGAGGGAGCGCCTTTTAACACTGGACACGACGAGTTAGAGACACCTACCAGGTGAACTACGTAGACACTCCAGAAATAGCTGGAAACAGAGGTATGGAATTCAGGAGAGCTACACAGATTAAGAAGAGACGTAAACCCTAGAGAGTCAATAAATGAACTCGGGAAGTTTGCAGGCTATAAGATCAATACACAAAAAAACCAACTGTATTTCTACATACTAGTAATGAATAATCTGAAAAGGAACTTAACAGGTCTACTTACAATGGTGTCAAAAAGCAAATTCAACAAAAGCAATGCCAAACTCTCTACTGACAATGGCAAAACACCATCGAAGGAGCGGAAGACTAAAGAAACGGAAAGGCACGATGTGTTCATGGAAGACGTCAATTCATATACAGAGTCAACATGATCCGTCTCAAAATCCTAGCTGGCTTATTTGAAGAGATTGACGAACTGATCCTGAAATTCACATGGAAACACGAAGGGCACAGAGTAGCCAAACTATCTTGAAGAAGAACAAGGTTGGAGGACTCACACTTCCTGATTTCAAAACTTACTACAAAGTTACAGTAATCAAGGCAGGGTGGGGCTGGCTAAGGATAGACATATGGACTAATGGAATAAAACTGCAAGTCCAGAAATAATATGTTTATGGATAATTGATTTCCTACAAGGATGTCAAGATAATTCAATGGGAAAAATGGTCTTTCCAACAAATGGTGCTGGAACAAATCGATAGCCACTTACAAATGAAGTTGAACCCCTATCTCACACCATATATAAAAATTAACTCAAAATGGACTAAAGATGTAAATGAAAGAGTTAAAACTATAAAACTTTTAGAAGATAATATAGGAGTAAATCTTCATGACTTTGGATTAGGCAATAGTTTTTTAGATAGAACATCTAAAGCACACACACACACAAACTAAGGGAAAAAAACAGATAAATTATACTTCATTAAAATGGAAAGCTTTTGTTCTTCAAGGAATACTATCAAGAAAGTAAGTACAACCCACAGAATGGGAGGAAATATTTGCAAGTCGTATATCTGATAAGGGTCTAGTGTCCAGAATATATTAAAACTTCTAAAACTCAACAGTAAAAAGACAACCTGATTAAAAAATAGGCCAAGGATTTGAGTAGACATTTCTCCATGAAGATATACAAATGGCCAATAAGCACATGAAAAGATGCTCGATATATCCTTAGCCATCAAGGAAATTCAAATCAAAATCACAACGAGATAGCATTTCACACCCACTAGGATGGCTATAACAAAAAAAGGATATTAACAAGTGTTGGCAAGGATGTGGAGAAATTGAGACCCTCACACGTTGCTGGTAGGAATGTAAAATGGTGTAGCTATCTTGAAAATCAGTCTGGCAGTTCCTCAAAAAGTTATCATATAACCAACCAATTCCACTCCTAGGTATGTACCCAAGAGAACTGAAAACATATGTCCACACAAAAACTTGTACATGAATGTTTACAGGAGCATTATTCACAGTAGCCAAAAAGTGAAAACAACCCAATGTCCATCAGCTGATGAATGGATAAACAAAATGTGGTGTATCCACATATGGAATATTATTCAGCCACAAAAAGGAATGAAGTACTGATATGTGATACAACGTGGATGAATCTTGAAAACATTATGCTAAATGAAAGAAGTCAGTCACAAAAGACCACATAGTGTATGATTCCATTTCTATGAAATGTCCAGAAAAGGCAAATCCATAGACATGGAAAATAGATTAGTGGATGCCAGGGGATGAGAGGAGACTGGAATGGGGAGTGACTGCTCAGGAGACGGGCTTTCTTTGTGGGGTGATGAAAATGTTCTGGAATTAGATAGTGGTGATGGTTACACAACCTTGTAAATATGCCAAAAACCACTAAATTTTATGGGATGTGAATTTTATCTCAATTTAAAAGAAAAAGGAAGTTATGGAAGCTACAGGAGAGATGTGAACACCAGGGAAAGGGTGTAGAGTCCTAAGAAAAAAAGCTGTGTCTGGAGTCCTGGGAAATAGCCCACTTGAGGAGTAAGGAGAGGAGGAGTGGGTTCCACAAAGGAGTCGGAGCAGCAAGAAGAGGCCAAGATGGGAATGGGGCTCAGAAGCCAGGGGAGGAATTCAACAAAGGAAGGAGATCTTAACAGGGTTGAATCTTGGAAGTCTTGGGGTATTGGCTGTGTGTGTGTGTGTGTGTGTGTGTGTGTGTGTGTGTGTGTGTGTGTAGGAGAGGTTTTCTTTGAGCACTGGTCTATGCCTGGCACTGTGGTGGATGGTAACATACATTCTGATTTCTCTGAGCCCCATGTAACCTCTGTGACCTTTGTCTCATTTGAAGAGTAGATTGCCTCTCTGTTGGAGAACTGAAATGAGGATCAAATATGATTATATATATATGTGTGTGCACGCACAACACATTTATGTAAAAATGTACAGTGCTAATTCTTTAGACTTTATTTCTTAGAGCAGTTTTAGATTCCTGGTAAAATGTAGTGGAAGGTACAGAGATTTCCCATACACCCCCTGTCCCCACACATCCACAGCCTGCCGCATGTCCTCATCTCCCACCGGAGTGGCGCATCCATTACAGTCCCTGAACCTACACTGACTCATCGTTATCAACCAGAGTCCGCAGACTACGTGAGGGTTCGTTCTTGGTGGTGTACTTTCTCTGGGTCTGGACACATGTATCCACCACAATAGTAACACACAGAGTAGTTTCACTGCCCTAAAGACCCTGTGCTCTGCCCACTCATCTCCACCCCGGCTGCCCCACCCTGGCAACCAGTGACCCTTTGACTGTCTCCAGTCTTGTCTTTTCTAGAACACCATAGAGTTGGGGTCATACAACATGCAGCCTTTTCCGACTGGCTTCTTTCACTTAGTAATGTGCATTTCAGACTCCTCAATATCTTTTCATAGCTTAATAGCTCATTTCCTTTTAATGCTGAGTAATATTTCATTGTCTGGCAGTTTATTCATCCATTCACCGACTGAAGGACATCTTGGTTGCTTCCAAGTTTTGGCAATGATGAATAAAGCTGCTTTAAGCATTCATGCCTGAGTTTTTGTGGGGACATAAAATTTCACCCTCTTTGGGTAAACAGCATGGACTGTCACTGTTGGATCGTGTGGTAAAAATCCCTTTAGTTTGGTGAGAATGAAGCGCTACCTTAATGGCTGTTGTTGACAGCTCTTTGGCTCAGGGGAGGTTCCAGGGAGGACTCCTGGGGACTGCAGGCCTGCTCTCCTCTCCCTCATCCCCGGGGATAGAGCGTCATGCCCCTGGGACTCCTCACTGACCAGTCCAGAGCGTCACACAGAAGGCCATCCAAGGGCCCTTGCCTCCTGGAGAGTTGGTGTGGCTCTGGCATATTGTGGCACAGACAGAAACCTGCAGTAACCCTCCCTTCACCCCACTCCTGGGCTCCCTCAATCTGCAGGTGGATGCCTTACCTTTGGGGGTGGTTTCCGAGGCATTAAGGGCTCCCTGAATGACTGCCTGGGCCTCAGAGTTCTTTTTCTTCAGGAAGTCTATGGTTTCTCGCAAATCCAGCAGCTCAGTGTCCTGAGCGAGAAAGGAAAATGGTGTCCTTAGTTGGGACTGGGAGCACCTAGCATGGGCCGGGCACTGGAATTCACCAGAGCTGATGGAGGAGAGCTCGAATGGGGACAACTGTGTCGAGGGGCAGGATGAGAATTCAGGGTGACAGGGAGGGCGGGAGGAGCTGGCACCGAGGAGGGAGGAGGTCAGCCATGGCCTGTGTGTCCAGGAGAACCCCTCCCTGGGTCCATCCCCACCCACCCCCCATCCAGGCCCCACACCTTCTCCTCTGCTGTCTCTGCCAGGTGACGCAGACGGGATGTCATATTCACCAGGCTCTGCTCGAAAGCTGCCACCAGGTTAGCCTGAAACAGACACAGGAGGAGCTTCCAAGGCTGCCTGAGGCCTGGGGAGACGAGGATTGATGGAGAGGTCGCTTCAGCTGATCTCCTGTCTCAAAGCTGGGCGCTGCCCACAGACTTCTCGGTGTTTTTAAGTATCGTTCTCCCTGAGCAGACAAGGTGCCCTCAGACCCCTTCCCGGCCTGAAGAAGTTTCCTGGGTGGGACCAGCTTCTTCAATGATACAGTGTTACAGACAGCACGAGGGCAAGTTTCTGGGGGCTCTTGGACCTGCGGCCAGGCACTCATCATGCACTAGAGCTGGGACTGTCCCTCTGCTCGATGGGAGGGCCATAGCCTTGGGGTTGTGCCTGTCTTCTTGGTCTAACTCCTCTGATGTCTAGCTGGCTGGCCTCCAGAACCCAAACCGCCTCCCAGGAGAAACTGGCACATTTTTCCAGCCCCCAGGTGGCCCTTGCTTCTCAACTCGTTCCCAGTGCTCCTCATTCCTGGCTTCTTCAGCCCACTGTGCAGGGCTGGAGAGAAGCAGCCCAAGGAACGTCAGGGCATCCCACAGTCGGCCACTAGATGTCAGATCTGTATCGTGGGTAGAGGATGCCCAGGACCTGGAGTTAAGAGGAGGCTGGGTACAGGCGCTTTGTGGAGAGGTGGGCAGAGTGTGGCTGCAGCCCTGGCTATCCAACGGGCAGCAAGGTGTGCCGGAATGGTGAAGGGACAGAGGCATGGGGCTACAGAGGGGACACTTGGGGACGGAGAAATAGCCACGAGGGGAGGGTGTCTGAGCAGGCTGGTGATCCTAGCAGGAAGTGATGGACACATTCTGGGCAGGTCCTTCATATGGAGCCCTAGGACACCTGTGACACTCGCACTGCCTCCCAGTGGCTAATGACCTCCCTCCCTGTTGGGTCAACTCCAATTTTCACCCATTGCCCTTGAAACGTGCCCGGAGGCTGCTCCCCCTGACCGTGGCTGGCGGCAATCGCTTTGGTCCTACATGAGCCCTCTCCCACTTGTACTGCAGATGTCAGGCCTGGGCCCCCGGGCTCACCTGTCGTGACCCTGGGCCCGTCCCTTTCACCCACTGTACGGGGAACTCCCACCTTCTGGCCTCAAGTTGGCTCCTCTTTGCTTCTCCACATCCCGCACGTCTGCAGACAGACTGATCCTGTCCTGGAAATCCACGGCTGAGACCCCGAGACCCCAGCTTCCGTGTGCTTTTCTGTGCTGCTTTTCTCGCTGCGCTCCCTTTACAGATCTGGGTGGGCTCTCCTCCCTGTCCCTCCTCTGAACCTCCCCCAGCCCTCAACCCCACAGGCAGCCTGTCAGAGCGCAGGGCAGAGTGGTGGTGCTCAGAGAGGCTGGCCTTTGGGAGAGGAAGTGGTCCGGGCTCTTCCCTCTCTGAGGGTGGGCAGCTGGGAAGTTCCACGGACCACGACCAAAGCCCAGTGTGGAATCGGGGGTCCTGAGGTGAGCCACAGACCTTCCTGGTCCTGGCCTCACGTCTCCTGCTGGAGGTCAGGGCTCTTACCCTCAGCAAGACTCTGCCTCTCAAATTCAGAACCCGTCAGTTCTGGGTGTTTGGTTTGTTTTCTGTTAGCCAAAGGAACTTCCTGTTCTAAGAAAAATCTCCCTCTAAATCCATTCTCCTGGCCCTCGCCCAGCCTCGACAGCACGAAGGCTGACAGATTGCAGCGTAAATGAATTAGACACACTAATGTTCTCTGCCTCCCTGGCGCCTCTCCCCCCAGCATCTCCCAGACATCAATTTCCTGGGGTGTGCAGGACATGACCCAGGCCACCAGCCGTGGCGGGTGGGGTGCAAGGGAGAGAAGAGATGGTTCTTGTTTATATTATAATTCTTGTGGGTCCCCGAGAGGGAAAACAGTGCTGGCCACGAGCTTCAAACAAACGGGCGAGTACACGACTTATGAACTGAGCGTCTGGGAAGAGGGAGTCACCAGGGAACTGCTGTTGAAGTATGCTGGACACAGGCAAAGGCTTGGTGAACGTCCTCCACTCGGCTCCAGGGGAGACCCCGGGCCTGATGGTCGGGTCCCCAGAGAGGAAGGGAAGAGAGAAAACCAGGAACCACCGCGGAAATTTCAGACACGTTACTTCTGTGCGAACCCTTGGAAACTGCCGCAGATCCGGCTCAGCTGTTGTTTACAGCTTCAGGGGAAAATGGTTCTTGTGTTCTCAGTTTGCAACTTGGTCACCAGGGACAGACGGCCACAGCCCGTTAGAGGAGGTGGCTTCACTCCTCCCCACCTCACGGGGGGAAGAACCAAGGACTACAGAAAGAAGAGACCCACTCTAGAGGGACGTCCTGTGGGCAGGTGGGGGGCAGGGACAACAGATTCTGGCTCCCAACCTGAGGCGGAGGTCACTTCTGCCAACGGCCCACGGAGGCTGCTAGAAAAGGCAGCTGTGAGTGGCGAAGTTGGACTAGAAGGGGAGTGGGCTTCCTAAGTGGTGTCACGGTCAGCACACTGAATTCTAACAACCAGTCCTGTGCCTGCCCAGGGAGGTGGTGTGAACGATGACGTGAACACACCCCAGGGCAGTGGCAAAGGATTCTGAGGGCTCTGTAATTATAATCCAGAACTACTTCTATCCGTGGCCAATGGCAAGGGTGTTTTCACCTCCATGTAGAACCACTGAAAATGTTTAGGGAGTTCAATGACCATCAGACGTGAACCCATCCGTACCTATTAATTAGGCTGGGGGCACATTGGTTCTTTATCAAACTCGAAACTTGGAGAAGGCGAAGCCAACCCCAAAATGCTCTGTGGCAGAGCACGAACAGGACCCGCTCGCTCGGAATCTAAGCCTGGGGATGCCTCACGAGAGAATTCTCCTCCTCTGGCCGAACGCATCTGACTCACGGCCAGAGCCGCCGCCCGGGCCTCCCCGCTTCACGGCACTCACGTTGGCAGACAGTTGAGACGTCAGCGTGGCCACCTTTTCCTGGGATGACTCCAGTTCCCTACGAAGCTTCCGGATTTGCTGTGAAAGCAAGAGAAATACAAGCTTGTGGTGGCAGAAGGAAGTGTCAGCCTTGGGAGGGAAACGGGGTGCGGTGGCGTTAACAAGCAGAGACACGGGCTTTGCACCCTACCTCAGATTGCATCCTCTCCTCAGCCTGAAGGAGCACAGGAGAGAAAGGGAGAGAAAGGAGGCAGTTACCACGGGGGGAAGGAGCCAGGCCCAGAGGCAGGCGGAGAACTGGAAGAAGTGACTCAGGTGCGAAGACTCTTTCCCGCCCCGGCTCCTCACGAGACCGGCTCAGACCCTGCCCTAGGGTTTCTGTAACACAGTTCTCTGCCAAGGAGGCTGGGCAATGAGGCTGGTTGATCTGAAGACTAACCCTTACTGCCATCAACTTGAAGGGGGAAAGAATTAGGGGCAGAGCAAACCTAAGAATCACGTTATACCCGACAGCCAGATGCAGTGCCCAGTGCCCCGCAAGGAACCCTTGGGAAATTCTGGGTACCGCCAGGGTCTGGAGTCCTAGAGACTGCACGTCGCCGTCCCACTTACCATGGCACAGAATGGGCTCCATGACAAGGGGACTGTCCACTTTTCAAAAGAGGGGACAAAAGGCGCTGGAGTTGCTCGGGTGTTGGTGGCGAGGCCAGAAAGACCACTGAGGAACCAAGCGCCCAACCAAGTGCTCGCAGCTCTAGGTGCCTGCCGCCCCCACCCCAGAACACGGACGGAACGAAGAGACAGCGTGTCCCCACCCCCACCCGGTCAAGGTTCTAGGGCGCAGAGCAGCGGCGGGGGAGGGGAGGGGAGGAGAAGGTAAGGCTCTTACTGAGGAGTAAGTGGAGGAGGCACTGGAGGCCAGGGACAGCACCGAGCCATGAACTGAAAGAGAAGCAGAACGCAAAGGGTTAACAGGATTCCGGGACAAGGACGGGCCCTGGGAAGAGCCCTAAGGCAGGAGTTCGGATTCTGATTCTGAAGAGCATCTGGAGTGAACAGAAAGAACAGAACAGGGGACCCAACTGGTATCCCGACAGCCCAGAGCAGGCAGGTCCTGAGGGAGGCAGCCTCCTCCTCCAGGCTCGTTCTCTGGGAGCCTGGGCGGGTCCCTCGCTCGGACTGCTCCGAGGGGCACAAGGGTGAAGGGAGAGGGAAAGGGGACGTTCGTGCGTGGACAGGCGTCGTCTTATCTTCCCAGGCAGGAACGCACGTCAGCTGCGGCAGGGGGCCTCGCCTCAGAGCTGCGCAGCACAAATGCTGCTTGCTGCCTGTGCCGCCTCCCCTCAGCTCTGGGGCACCTGCCGAGGAGGCGGGGACCATTCAGATGAAACAAGCGTCGAAGTGCAAATGCTCGTTCTGAGCACTCAGCAGAGCCACTGAGGGAACGAAAGCCCGTCCGCGAGGAATGAGCACCCTGAAATCCTAACGGGAGTCTCATCTCCCCGAGAGCCTGGTCTTCCAGGCTCTAACCACTGACGCGCAGAGCACCGCCAACAATCCACAGGGCCCTCCCTGACACCAAGCCCTGGAACACTCTTGAAAGAGGAATGAAACGCCTAATTCTTCTGAAGGACTTAAGAGCTACACCACACCCGAGACGGGGGATGTACTGAGAGACTGTGGGGAGGAGAGATCGCTGCTGGGATGAGGAGGATGGGAGCCATGGCTTCCAGAACATTCTGTGGGGCACCATTTAACCTTCTGTGCTCCGCTGCCCCCAGCCCCAATGGCAGATGCTCCATCCCAAGCCCCAGTGCCAGACGGTGCCACCCAAGGTTTCTGGGCCCCCAGACCCTCCAAAGGGATGGGAAGAAAGAACTGAAATGGCCCCAACTCGATGTCTGTGAATCATAGGTGTGTGTGGTGGTGCGAGTGGTGGGAGTGGAGTGGTGGTGGGTGGGCGGACCCAGCAGAGCTGGAATGAGCGTGAACCGCGCTGGCATGAAGTCTCACCGTCGTCCGTGGGGTCTCGGAAGGATCCTGACCGAATCATTCCCTTGGGTCTCTCGGCCAGGGACAAGGTGCTCCCCATTTGAGAGCCGCTGTACAGCTCGAAGGCCGCCTCGTGGGTGGGGATGCTGTTGGAGCGGGTGATTCTTGGCGTGGTGGCCGCAGTGGGACTCACTGGAAGGACAGAGGGAAGGGGGACAGGAGAAGGAGGGGGAGGGCAGGAGAAGAGGCAGGGTCATCAGCTCTCCGGTCCCTTGGGGAATGGAGCACCAGGAGCATAGGAGGCCATGGTGGGAGGGCAGGAGAGGCGGTGGTGGAGCAGTGGGAGTGTGCAAGCAGCTGGTGGTGAGGATGGGGGCTCTCCCGGGAGAGCTGGGCCTAGTGGAGAGGGACCTGCTGTCTGGAAGAGGGGTGAGCAGCTCCCCTCGCCCTGCCTGCCCCAGAGCTGTCGCGTTTGAATGTCAGGCTGGGGGCCCGGCAGCTTTTCTGAAACCTTCCCATCGCTTGGGTGCACTGATGCTATCGGGATGCTGTGGTTCGCTACAATACAACTAGCAGCTCGGGAGGACTGAGGATTCAGACCAAGACTCGGATCTGAATGATGAGAGCAAGCCAGCTGGACAAGGGGCTGAGCTATGGGACCACGGGCTTGGCGTTACGGAAGGGAGCGAGACTCTCCCCACAAAGCAGCGTCCTTCTACGTCACTGCTGGGTTCTGAAGCCGCAAGAAATGTGACCCTCTCTGCCCAGCGTTCCCGTGGCTTGAAGGCCAGACAGTCGGAGCAGATGAAGCATCCGGCTAGGCTGTGGAACCCGCTGTGAGGCTGGGCTCAGCCAACTCCGGACTGCCCCGCAGAACCTCTCCCCCGTGCCCCTTGCTGGGGGACAGCCTCCCGGGGCTCACTCCCACACAGAGCCCCACACTGTCCCACTGCCCCCACAGGAGGTGACGTCTAGTCTCTCCAGAAAGACCTTCACAGAAGAGAGCTCACGCCTCTCTCTCTCGGCCCTGGATGCTTACGGTGATCACTGTTAGCCCAGCCCCTCAGCCTACCGCGTAAATGCATTCCTGTTTGGTCCTCAGTGGAGACGGAGAACCCTCCATGTAACGGCCCTTCAGGGACCACAAGACCTTTCCGTAAGAATCATTCCCTTCTCTAGGCAAAATGACCCGATTCCTAGTTTTTCCTCAGGTCCCCACAGCCACCCCCAGGCACATCACAGGCCCTGGTGCTTTCCTCACTGCTGTCCTTCACTCAGCTGGAAGAGGAGATGACAGGGGGACACTGCGAGGGGACAGCAGGCCTGTCCCAGGCCCCACCCAGACGGGCTCCCATTTGGCGGGTCACAGCACGCTGCCTCCCAGACCAGGGTGGCGCGCTCATGGCCAGGCCCGGTGCTCTCCTGAGCTTCGTCCCTCCCTGTCTCTGAGTCACACTGTCACTGCCCTCTTCCTGGCTTTCCCCTCTCCTCAGGCTTTCGAGAGGGTGTGGCCAGGACGTGTCTGAGACAGCTCTGCCTTCAGGGCTCAGATGGCCCTGGCCCAGTCAGAGCAGTTGGGCAATCTGGACTTTCCTGGTCTGGAGGCAGATCCCATCCTCTGCAGTCAATAACCTCTCCCTCCTTCCTCCCCACCAGCCCGGCATTTTGGAAGTGCAGCCCTGGGTGTGGCGGCTCCTTTCTGGCAGTGACCGCCTGCTCACTGCTCTAGTGTGATGTCCCGGCCTCGGGTTACCGCTTCTCCAGACCATCAGTCTGACTCTCTGATGCTACAGGGACCCAATAACTTGTGCCTGGGGCAACTTCTCAGTTTAGGATCTTGGAGCATATTGCCATCAATCCTATTTTGGATGGATGACCTGAGGCACCATGAAGCCGCCCAATAGAGCGCATCAAATATGAGATGAAACTGAAGCCCAGCTGCCTTGCCTCACCCCGCGGGGTGACCCCCACCTCATCCCACGCCACAGCAAGTGAGGAAGACACTAACCTATGTTGGTGAGCTGGCCCTTTGCGCTCAAGGACATGGGGAGTGCAGGGGGCGAAGGCAGCTCTGACTGGTCGTCGGACTCAGGGAGCCCACCAATGGTGTGGGAGTGTCGCCGCTCCTTGGTCTCCTCCTGGGACTGAAGCTGGTACCTGCAGGAGGCGGCAGAAGAACTCGGTCTGGGCAACTATGAAGCGATGCCAGAGGTTTGGGCGGTGTGGCGGTTCTGAAAGCAGGACAAGGAAGGGGAAGCAGACAGGGCCACCCAAGGAGGCAGCAAAGAGGAGGCAACTCGGCATCCTCTCGCGACCATCAGGAGGGTGCTGGAAGACTGGCGGGTGTCTCTACAGGACTTCCTGAGGTGGGGACTGAAACGATGGCAGGGGCATGAGAGGGTCTTCCCTGAGCTCGGGAGGGAGCTCTGTGATTCCACACGTGGGCTTCCAAGGAGCGGGGTCACCTGAGTGGAGACCTCAGCGCTGCAGTGACGGAGGAGGACCAGGCATGTCCTGCTCGCACCCGTCTGCACGACCCCAGCCTGTGCTCCCAGACTTTGAAGGAGGAAAATCAGAGAGGAAGTTCTGCCAGGGGTGGGATGGCACAGGCTGCTACAGGTAAGTGCAAGATCACCACGTGCAAACCTGTTTCTCCTCTGTCACCCAAAAGGAACGCTGGCTCTGAAGGTGACTCACACAGAAGCGTGAGCTTGGGCATGATGCTGGGAGGTCTATGCACAGGAACCGCTTATAAAGGCCTCGGTTATAAGGGCAGCTAATTCATGACTGCGGCCCGGGGTGGGTCAAGTCATGGCTTTTCATACAGCCCAGGAGCCCCAGTTAGAGGGAAGAAAAAAACACATCGAAGGGTTACCTGAGCCCTTTCTTGGGAAGGGTGTTGCGGTCCCGCTGATTACTGTGGAGAAAAGAAAGAGGAGCACGTGGGTCCACCTTCCAAACTGGCCTTTGGAACAGGCTTCAGGGATGCCACACCCAACACCACCTGGGAGCCCCTTGATCCCCAAAAACAAAACAAGAAGGCAGCTGCAGCCTGGGTGTTAACCTGAGAAATGCACCTGAAACGCTAAGTGTTTCTCTCTGATTAGGACTCGGGGTGTGGCTGGCTGTCTAAAGGACCGGATTAGGGTGTGTGAAAACCGGGTGTGATATAACAGAGATCATTCTGGACTCGGAAGCAAAAGCTTTGTAAGCTGTGTTGTTAAACTAATGATGAGATCTTGGACGAGTCACATAACATCTTGTGAGCTGGTTTCCCCCTTTGTGAGATGAGAATAATAATTCAAAAACGAAAAAATCCCACCTATCTCACGGAGCTGTTGTGAAGCGAATGGAATTACTTAACGTACGTGAAAAAATCTGGAGAGACAGGAAGTGGCAATCAGTGCAGGAGAGGGTTACTAACGGCCAGAGGCCGAGGGACCAGGCAGGCTCAGCTCTCTATCCACCCACCTGTCCAGCTGCCCGGTTCTGGGGCTTCCGCTCCAGGTCAGCTCTTCTGTCTCCTCCTCTGGGGGTGCAGCAGAGGGAGCGGGTGGGGTGGGGATGGGGGTGCTGCTGGGGAAGGCACTGGGCAGGCTCATTGGCATCTGGAGGGACTCCATGCTCCTGTGCAGGCCTGAGAGTTTGGGGTACATGCGGGTCTCCTTGGGGACACTGAAACCACTCATTAGCTCCAGGCCCTGGGAGAAGCTGGCTGAGTTAATGTTGAGAATGGGTGCTGGACTCGGGGTGAAGCAAGAAGGGAGAGGGCCCCCAGTTCCTGAGCCTGTAGCGTGCAGATCCGGGACCTTCGAAGCGTGGGTGTCACTGGCCGATGGCAGATCCAGACTGTTGGAGTTGACCTTGTCTAGATTGGCTAGTGAGGGTGGTTTGACAAAGCTCTTAGCTGTGGCCCTGAGAGAAGTGCAGACAAAACAAACATTTAGAATAACGGAGGTGGAGAAGCGAAAGGCAGGGGAATCCAGAGAACTCTGGTCCAGGTTCCTCGCTCTCTGGCTATTTGCTAAGTATGTGGCTTATGCCAAGGCCGCCGTGGAATAGAATGGAAGGAAATCTGATGCCTGACTTGGGGCCCCTTCAATCTAAGTGGGGGGACAGCAGATACACATGGGAGACACAGGTGGATGTATATACACATGGGGACGGGCGTCAACAAACAGTAAAACCACCCGTCCAAGTGCTGAAGACAGCCAAGGGCTGATCAGGGAATAGTAGAAATGGGGTGAATTTTGAAGACAGTTTTGAGAGAGGGAGAAGGAAGTTGACCTACAGGGAGCGAAGGGGACAGACCCATGCAAAGGCCCGGAGAGAGCGGACAGACCGTGCCTCACTGGTCTAAGGCATGCAGGGATGTGTGAAGGGGTCAGGGCTGCAGATGGCAAGGAAGCTGCCCAGCCTGGGTACCTGAGAGGGGTTGGTGGCAGCTCCGCCAACTTGGTGGCTGGGGGGTGGCTGGCTTGGCTCTTAGGAGTACTCTCTGGGGAGCCCACGCTCTTCAGGGAGATGCTGTCTGAGTCCAGGGCCACTGCCTTGGCTTTGGCCTTCTCCTTTTCCCGATCTGTCTGGTTGACAGGGGCTGGGGCGGTCCGCGTGCTGGCCACCTTGGAAGGCTCCTTCAGTCTGGAGGGCGTTAGGGCTCCCTGCTTGGTGCTGAGGAGGCTGGGGTCAATGCTGCTGCTGACGGGGCGAGGGCCGCCCCGCCCGCCGGTCACGCTCATTGAGCTGGACTTGGCCGGCCGGGGCAGGCTGCGGTACTGGATGTTGGAACGGGCTCCGGGAGCCAGGAACCCGGGCTCTGCACTGTTGGACACATCTAAGCTCGTCTTGCGACCGTTCACGGGCTTGACGGGGATGCCAGAGGATTTCTGGATCTTGCTGAGAGTGGCCGAGCCACCTGTCTGCATGACCGTGGCCGTGCCTGTGGCGGGAGGTGGCTTCTTGTAGCCGAAAGATCCTGAAGTGGAAGGGCGAGCGATGCCTGAGGGCGGCTTCTTGGCGTCGCTCAGGCGATCTCGGCCAGCGTCGGAGGAGGAGCGCTGCAGCCCGGGGTTCTTCACCGCGAGCTTGCTCTTGTCCGTGGCTTTGCTTTCAGGTTTGCCTGCAAGAGGGCCAGACGCGAGGGAAGAGAAGCTGACGGGGCCAGTATCCCGGCAAACCCTCCTCTCCCCCTCCACGGGAGAAAGGAGCCTCCCTATGTGCTGCAGAGTCTTAGGGGCCTAAGGGTGGGTCCGAAGGTACTAGAAGCTGGCGAAATTTCTTGGCAGAGGGAAGGAGATGCTGGGTAGGAGTAGCCTAGGGTTTTTGTTTGTTTCCAGAATAGGATATTCCATTTTGGTTAAAGTGGCTGAGGCAACCACAAAGATTACTAAGAAGGAATCGCATCTAATGACTGGCCAAGGGAGGAAAAAAGGAGGGGAAGCAAACAGCCTCGAGTATGGCACCACCTCCTGGGGATTAGAGACCAGAGGCAAAGACAGATTAGGGCGAAAAGTCCCCCAAAGGGCCGACTTCGGGAGCAATGAGATTCGGATCGATCAGTGTCCCGGGAGGTCAGGCAAGCACCTTGTGAAGGCAAGTACACCGACCAGACGTCCTGGGAGAGGAAAGAAAACCCCGACGGGCAGCGTTGGAAGGCGGGTCAAACTAGTCTGTGAACATAACATAGTCCCCTCCTCCTCTGCCTCCTATTGGCTGTGTGACTTTGGCCCAGCCTCTTAACCTCTGAGGTTTTATTCCACTTTTAATACCCCTCCTTCCTGACTCACAGGGCTGTTGTGAAGACCAGGAGAGGGACATCAGAGCACCGGGCAAAGGTCTACGACCGTCCTACGGGGTGACGGCCGTCAAGAAGAGTGTCGACCCTTGTCCTTTTGCCCTTGTCCCTTCCTTCACTCCAGGCTCACCTGCGACTTTGAGGGCACTCTGCGCCGTGTGCGTGATGGGGGAAGTGACGGCCACGGGCGGGGTCTTGCCCTTCTTCAGGGAACCAGGGTGTCCCAGGCTGACGGGCTTTTTCAGTTCTCCAACCTTGGACGAGTCGTCACAGCTCTCAGGCCGCTCTCTCCGCCACTTAGAAGTCCCAGGTTCCATCTTCAGGCTTCCGCTGTCGTATTCCAGCTTTTTGGGGGCCTTCTCCTCTGATTCACTGAACCAGCTCAGCCCACTTTCTGCCAGTGAGCGCTTCTCTGAGTCTGTGCGTAGCTGAAGAGCAGAAGAGAAAAAGCAGTGAGTCGCTCATCTGGGGACGGGAAATGGAGGGCTGAGAGGGTGTATTTTGGTTGCTGGGTGGTCCTGCTCTCCCCAGAGTACTAAGTCAATCCAGAGTTGATATCTGCACCTCTAGGTGCAGAGAGAAGACATTGAACCTATCTCGGGTTTCCTTGTCTTCTCCAGTTGGAATAGCTCTTACAGGTGTCACTCCAAACTCAGGTGGACACTAAATACAGGCACTATTCACTAGGACAACCACCAGTGTCTTGGGTGACTGTGTGGTAGCTTCAGGTTTCCTTTTACCAGCTCTAAAAGGACTTGATCAACAGCCTGTGGGGAGCAACCCCACGGATGGGGGAGTGTCCCTGCAAACCTGCATACGGCCGGTCTGCCCTGGGGTTCATCTGGAGATGGTGGCCCAGGTGTTCACGAGCTCACGTACCACTATCGTGGAGTTCCTGCGAGAGGCAGTGGGAGTGGTCGGGAGCGAGTTGAGTGAGGAGCTGGCGTTGAACTCTTCTGAGCTGAGGTTGTCCGAGGCATCACTGAGCCCACTGCTGATGGAGCTGCTCTCATCCCAGCTACAGGACAAGAGAGATCACGGTGAGCAGTGAAGACAGAAGCCAAGGCAAGAAACACATTTTCACATTGATGGAAGAAGGGCTATATTCCAGTATCCAGACTGGCTAAAAGGAGAAAGCTGGTGGGTTAGTCCTGGGTCTGTCAGCAGAGTGACTCAAAGTGTAGCTTAAACTCCCTTGTCATTTGGCAATGTTTTTATAAAAGGAAGACACTCTGTCTTTATCTGGCAAAGGAAGGTGTTATGTCTCCTTAGCGTAAAGGTATATTCTAAAGACAAGGCAATTCTTGGATCAATCTAACTCTACAGACCAATTTCCTCTCCCTGTTAGGGTATAATTACCATCTTTGTTCATTTTCCGATGTGTCTCCAGGTACTATCCCTCACTTCTCTAAATTTTCCCATACCCGGTAACAACGGCCAGAAAGAGATTGATCTTTTCTAGAACCCCTTAGACCCATCATTCCTCACTGCTCCCTGTTTACACAGCTCACCCCGTCTCGGCATCAGGTCCTGCTTCTAAAGAGCATGTACTACTCTGCTGGTAAATGACCCCACTCAAGGTGCTGTGGTGGAGAAGTGCCGAATTTGTGCTGAATGGTCTCATTTTCCTGCCAATTGCTTGGAATATCAGAGCTGTGGTGTCTGGGAGAGACCATTGTTAAACATCTGTATCTGAATGTCTTAAGACTAAGTGAACTCAACATGGCCTCCTCCTTGTCGTAGCTGGGCCTCTACAACGTTCCGTTGGCTGTTCATTTTGTGTTTAACAAGTTTCACCATCAGAAAGTTTATTCTTAACACCTAAACAGCCCCCTCTACCGCTTATGCCCATTTCCTTTTGTTCTCTCCTTGTTTGCTATTCACAAGTTGCTTCTGATCCCACATTATTTTCTAAGCTCGAATTCTGTCTCCCACAACCTTGTTTCAAAGGTTCCGTTTTCCACGTCTTTCAGTGTTTCTATTACTTCCTTCTGGACCTAAAGAGTTCTTGAGATTTCACTCAAGCTTTAGAGCCTAAAACTGAACAGGGAACTTCAGTTAAGGCTGCAGCACACGAGCATCTGCTTGTGCTCAGGAATTCACCTTTAAATCCTCATGTCTGTGTCCACAGTAGGTTTGTTTATCAGCTTTGCGTGTGAGCAATGACTTAAAGGCTGAAGATGTTTTTGGTGAATTAGCTGCTATCTGGAAAATTTTTCCTTTGTGATTTATTTTGAGTTTCATATCATGGAACCAAAATCAGACATATAAGTCATCTAAGTGCTTGGCCCAGATTGCAGCTGGCCTCCCCGTAATCTGTGTGCTGGGAATAGGGAAGTGGGTGGTTTGGACATCTGGCCTGGTTGCTCTGGAGGCAGGAGTCCAGACACACTGAGAAAGAGCAGAGAGCGCCCAGGGATGAGACCTACAGAGGGTTTCAACCATACTCCTAGGAAACACAGCCACTTTTGAATGGCAGCCTCTCCCCGACTCGTGACACAGCGTAAATCTCACATTTGTCCTGGGCTAAGATATCACAACCCCCATTCTCTGGGGAAAGAATACCGAGGGGGAAGGATCAATTCTGGTTTTATGATCCCATCGGCATTTCGGGGTCAAGATCAGATCTCTGGCAGGCAAGCAAACAGACCACTCCCAACGTGTTCTCTCAGGTCAAAGACAGAGGAGCCCGTGGCACCGACCTTCTGTCCGAGATGAGTTACTGGTCACCAAGGTCTTGGAGCAGAGAAAACTCTTGGGGAAGGGCCCTCACAAGAAGAGCAGGACTGAGGCAGCCCACCAGCCCAAAGAAACGCTTCCTCTGTCCGGCACTTAGGGAAAGCCTGACGCTGCAACCAGGGAGGGGGTTTATCTTCTCAGAGTTCAGGTCCCCACCCCAAACGCCATTCCTCCCAAGTCACAGACTCTTCTCCTAAAGTAAGAAAGTAGAAACCTAAAGTGACCAGGGAAGGCTGGCTAGAGGATTTAAAGACTTCCCAGCAAAACTCCTTTGCAGGTTTTGAACAAAAAAAAAAATCTCCACTGGAGATGCTCCGCTGGAGGGAGCATGTTTTCTCTTTTTTTCTTTCTTTTTTGTGAGGCAGATTGGCCCTGAGCTAACATCCGTTGCCAATCTTCCTCTTTTTGCTTGAGGAAGATTGTTACTGAGCTAACACCTGTGCCAGTCTTCCTCCACTTTATGTGGGATGCCGCCTGAGCATGGCTTGATAAGCGGTGTGTAGGTCCCTGCCCGGGAACCGAACTGGTGAACCTGGGCCATGGAAGTGGAGTGTGCAAACTTAACTACCATGCCATTGGGCTGGCCCTCTTTTCTTTCTTTCTTTTAAAAATAAATAGAAAAGTAACATGGGCTATAGTCAAGACACAAACATTACATAAGAAGAGGAAGGGAAAGAAGACAAATGCCCCTCTTCACCCTCCCACTCTCACTTCCAAGGCAAGCTCTGTGCTCCCTTCAGGAGTATCCCTACGCGTCCCCTCGTCTTCCAGCTGTCTGCCCTCTGGATCTGAATTGCTGACCTTATGGGACACGCTTCCTCCTCTGGGAAGTCTCTCTGCCCGGCTCTTGAGTGGAGCCTTGGTCCTCCTCTCTCTGGTTTACTCTCGTTTTAGGGGAGCATCTCTTCTAGCAGGTCTCTGGAAAAGGATGCTTGGGAAGCCAACTTTGTAAGATCCAGCATATTACAAAACGTTTTTAAGCTATCTTACATGAGCTTTTGGCTAGGCATAGAATTCTAAGCTGAAAATAATCTCCTTTCAGAATGTAAAGGCATTGCTCCATCGTCTAGCCTCCGTTGTTGCCCTTCTGGTCCCCTGTCCACAGTATGTGACCCGCTTCTTTGTGTCCTCTCTGGGAACTTTTAGCATCTTCCCAGTGCTGTGAAATATCATTAATGATGCCCTTGGTGTGGGCCAATCTTGACCCATCAATGGGGCACCTTCCTTTTCATCTGGACGCTCATGCCCTTTAGCTCTGGGAAATTTTCTCCAATTATTTCTTTGATGATTTTCTCCTCTCCACTTTTCAGTTCTCTCTTCTAGAATGTCTGTTACTCAGATGACAGATTTTGAGGCAGATCCTTGATTTTCTTTCTTATTTTCCAGCACTGTATATTTTAACTCTATGTTTTTGGGCAGTGGCCTCAATTATATCTTCCGCTGCCTCCATTAAGATTCTCATTTCTGCTGTCGTATTTTTAACTTCCAAGAGCACTTAAAGAAAAAAGCACACTGTTCTTTGTTTCAAGGAGGCAGTCTCTTCTGTTAACTCTCAGAGGGGCAGTTTATAATCTCTGCACAGTTTCTGGTTGCAAGTCACCTTTTTCTGTTTGACTTGGTGACACTTTCAGGCTACAGACCTTCTCAGCCGTCTGATGGTCCTTGGCTGTTGCTCCTGTGTAAGCCTGGGACACTCATTCTAAGTTATTTGGAAGCTCTGTGTACGTAGGTAGGACTTTTCAACTATGGCTTCAGTACAAAGAGATGCGATTGGGTTGAATCATTTAAGTTTTTTCTTTGGGGCTGCTCAGACTTTCTAGAGATGAATCTCTCAAACTCCTGTCTGGAGGGAATAAGGCCAATGTTCTCAGTTGAGCTGGGGAAGGGGCCTGGGTGTTTCTACATTCAATCTGTGAAGTTTCACTTAATACTCCTTGTTTTTGGTTCAAAATCTAGGTGCTTACTGGTGCCAGGAGGCCACTAGTTGTGGGAGCCCTGTTTTATTCTCTCCAGAGCCTCAGTCTTCCGTTGGTGAGGGGAAGGGCAGCTGCCTCTCCAGGAGCAGTGGAGGAGGGCGTCTGGGGGTCTCATGCATTCCTGTACCCCTCACATAACATCTCATACAGGGTGGGCTCGTACATACATGCAGACTTGAATCCTGGCTTACGTGAAAGTAGGAATGCATAAACTCTGGCAAGGGGTGACAGTTCTGGAACTGTGACTTATCTGTTCTCCAAGAATAACTAGGAGTTTGCTTCCAAATAGTCCTTCTTCAGTGAGAATTTATAAACATTCTTGTCAGAACTTCCAGTTCTCTGCTTAAACTCTCCAGCTGTCCAAGAATGTAATCCACCTTCTATTAGGTCCTTAAAAATATTTATAGAAAGTATTTTACAATCCTTGTCTGCTAATTCTAACATCTGGGTCATCTGTTGGTCTGCTTCTATTGAGTATTTTTTCTCTCAGTTACATTCTCCTGCTACTTCTTGAGTCTCGTCACTTTTTATTATGCACCAGGTGTTGTACGTAAACGAACAGCAGGGAGTATACTGAAAAAAGGACACACCCCATCCTCCATCAGGCCACTGGGATTGAGAGCCGAGTTGGCCTAATGCGTAGCAGAGCCAGGTCTGGGCTTGGCTGTTGCCATGGAGAAAATCAGCTCAGTGCTGGTTCAGATGCCTTGAGGGCGGGACCAACACTGTCCTTCCCACAGGGCTTGGGACCTGACCACAGCGAGACTCTAGAGATCCCCCTCTAGGCCTCACGGCCAGATGCCAGCTTTTTGGGCCGCCGTGGAGTTCTCTTTGCTCCTAGTGGGCCACTCCTGTGCACTCAGGGAAGGGCCCTTGTGCTTTGGAGGGGCGTTTTTCTCACCCTCCTGCCCTGCTTTGATTTTTCTGTACTGTGCTGCTGCTGGCTACCCAGGGAATATGCTGTGCACACTGGGCAGGGGCAGGGCAGGGGGTCTTTCTCAGCTTTCTGTCCTGCCCTCGTTGTCAGCTCGCTGCCACTGTGTGTACTCAGTGAAGACCTCATGGGGAAGAATTAGGAGTGGATGGGACGTATTTGCTCTGTGATTGAGTCTCCTTACAGCTAGTCCACCCACAGCCTTCGGAAGTCTGCATGAAGTCCAGCCGTTGTCTCCGGATCCTCATCTAGGGCAGGTTACGCCTCCTCCTGCCATGCTCCTCGGGAGAGAGCAGCCGCGCATCCTCTCCCTCCTGGGAAGGGCTCGCCCTCTTCTGGAATTTAGTTCAGTTAGAATGTTTTGCATCC